TTTACATATATTTACACAAATGTGTTATCATATATTGAACATTTTCCCCTCTTTGCTTAGAAAAGAATGTGTCAACCTTTGCAAGTTATGCTGATAATGGAATAGTGGTTACTACTGTCAGTTCCTTTATGCACAACTTCAAAAGTCTAGTTGGCTGCCACAACTTAGTTACTGAAGAAAGCCTGCCTTCTCCCACTGATAATGAAAAACAAACAGGTAATAATATAGTTTAATTTATCTCATATATAGCTAGCTAGATTACTTGAAATGAGGAACCTAGTATATGTGCTTCAGTATAGGTAAAGAATGTAATCTTTCTAAACTGTAGAACACATTGTAAAAATAAGAAAGAGAGGCATAGTGTTGTTCACTATCTTAAGATGAAATTGGTCTGATAAGGTATTCAAGAGACTCCATGAAATGTAAAAGGGTTAGGATAAAGACAGAGCTGAAGTGTAGAAAACAAGCAGTGAGTGAGAGTCGGTAATTGTGATGGGTAATTTTCATACAAAATTCTGACCTACTGTATAACTTTAGATGCTGTTTTGACATTAAATCCTTTGGAGCTGGAAGTTGGGGTTACCCAACAGTAAGCATGAACGCATTTCGCAGAAGCTTTTAGCATCGGAGTATCCGGACGTTCACAAGAGGGTTATATGTGTGTTGAGTAAGTGAACAAAAATGACAGAAGACCAGCCTTAAATGATATGCGACTTTGAGACCTGAAGCCTAAAACGGTGTGAGTAGTGCATAGTATTTTTAGATAAACTTTCTATTTCAATAGAGTAGGATTTTTCTCTTCTTAATGTAGCTCTTATAGAAAACGATGAAAAGGATGAGGAGGACATGTCTCTGGATTCAGGGGATGAAGCATCACAAATAGAAGTTTGCAATGATGCCTCAAATTGTGATTCCCATTTGGAAGATTTTCAGACAGAGACCAAAGGACCACATGCAACAGACTCTAGGCAAAACTCTCAAAGTGACGCACTGCTGTCTTCTGAAGAACAACACTACTCTCTGACAGAAGAGACTTCTAAAATTGACATGCCAGATATACAGCCAGTTACTCCAGTTTCAACTACCTGCTGTGCTGAAGGGGAGAGAACTAATTCAGATGAACAAATTCCCCTCAGCTTTCAGATGTACAATAGACAATTAAGTGTGCCTCATCAATTCAGTCATTTTAATGTTCTCACTCACCAGACATTTTTGGGGACAACGTACCCTATGTCTACCAGTCAAAAGCAGGAAAGTGGAAATTGCTTTCTGACTGCTTATAGTCAGAACATGGATATGGATCATTCTTCATCTTCATCCAATAATTGGGATACCAGTTGTGATTCTTTGAGGCCATTTCCCAAACAGAATTGAGCAAAGCAAAAATGTCTTTTTTAAAAATATTTCTTGCGGACTTTAGAAAAAAAACAAGTGAATTAAGTATTTCTAGTCTCTGATCTAAACATTTATTGTTTCTTATCGCAGATGTTTTCATGTTTATTTAAATCATGAATGGTCTGTATCAGATAAAGTACCTGAAGTTTCAAATAAATATATATATATTTTTAACATATATTGTACTTGAATGAACTTGTTTGTTGGCACTTCTTAAGTTTTACATTTTGTAGTTCACATGTAATTAAGATTATCAACTTGAAGTCTAATTTATGTAATTTGAACGTTTGCCTGAACCATATGTGAAAGAGGGAAGGGATCATTTTTAATGTATAAAAGGACATTCAAACCACTTTTTCTTTAAAATAGCTGTTATGTACATATGTGAATGTTTTGTATAAAATCTTTCTACAGCTTTAAAGTCAACTCTAGTTACTTCATCAAATATCCTGGATTTTTGGTTACATACCTTAGTTAGAAAAAACAATAGATGCAGTTTGTTTTGAAATGAATAAAAGAATTTGTCAAGAGAGGACTTACTAGCAAGTTGCATTTTGTTGTGTCATCTGTTTCCATGAAATAGATGCAGCCAAGATGGTTATTTATCGTTATCAATCAAGTTAACTCTTGCCATCAAGTTCTGCATTTACTAAAAGTATGTAATACTCTGATTAGTATTCCAAGTTATCAGAGCTCTTTTTTATCGGCATAGTAATACTAAATCAGGTTATAGAAAACTTGCAATATTATGTACGTGTATGTAGATGATCTGGCTTCATTAATATCAAGGAAGTTAAGAATAGCTCTGTGTGGAGTTATTGTCATAATATACTCTTGTATCCCTGAATTTGGATTTTTTTTTTAATTAAAACATTTCATAACAATAAAATGCTGCCATTATATCTTACACTTTATAAATATGAACCGTGGTTTGCTTATAACTACATATAAAATCTGTCAAGAAATCTACAGCATTCCATTATCCATTACAATGTAGAACTATGCAATTAATATATAACATGGAAGAATTAATTTTGGATTGATTTACCATAAATTGCACATTAAGTTTGACTCTGTTGCTTCTGAGGAAGTGGATAGGATCCTAGAGTATGTGCGCAAGTACCTGTGTTTTAGACCCATGTCCCTTCTGGCTTGTGAAAGCTTCCCAGGAGGTGACGGGTGGACTCTGGCAGTGGATTAATGCTTCCCTACCAGGAGTGCCTCAGCACTTTAAGGAGGCTGTGGACTAACCTTTTCTCAAGAAGCCATCGCTGGATTCCACCCTGTTGGATAATTTCCAATCTGTCTCCAGTCTTCCCTTTTTGGAGAAGGTTATTGAGAAGGTGGTTGCATGGCAGCTCCAGAGGTTTCTGGATGAAACGGATTATCTACTCCTCTACCAGTCAGCAGTCAGCCCTGGATATGGGACAAAAATGCTTTTGGATGATCTCTGGTGGGAGTGGGATTTGATATATCCTTGCTCTACTTGACCTCTTGGCAGCTTTCAATACCATCAACTATGGTATCTTGGAGCGGTTTCAGGGATTGGGAGTGGAGGACTCTGTGCTATCCTGGTTCACTTTCTCACTGGCCGCTTTCGATGTTAATAGGAGGTGAGAAATCCAGCCCTCGCTCTCTACTTTGTAGGGTCCCGCAGGGCTTTGTACTTTCTCCTACATGAAGCTGTTGGGCGAGATCACCCATCATCATGGACTGAGATAATATGCTGATGATACTCAGCTATATGTCTTGGCCCTTGGTGAGTTAAGTGATAGCATGACCTCCCCCTTGCAGTGCTTGGAGACTATTAGGGGTTGGATGGTGAGCAACAGGTTGAAACTGAATTCTACAAGACTTAAGTAGATCTGGGTTTGGGGTTCTTTGGCCCATGGAGAATTGCCACCTTTGGTCTCGGATGGGGTGGCACTGCCCAAAACAAGCCCTATGCATAATCTGGGGATTCTGGACTCGCAACTCCTGCTCAAAGAGCAGATAGCAGTCATGGCCAGGAAGTCCTTTGTACAATTGCAGTTTGTGTACCAGTTACGCCCTTTCCTGGACAATCCCTATTCACGGTCAGTCATTCCCTCATCACCTCCAGTCTTGACTATTGCAACATGCTATACATGGAGATACTCCTGAACAGCATCTGGAAGCTCCAGTTGCTGCAAAATGCAGTGGACCACATGGTTTTGTGCAGACGTCAGTGTGCACATGTATCACTTCACCTGTGGGAACTGCATTAGTTGCCAATATGCTTCCAGGTGCACTTCAAGCTGCTGGTTGTCACCTTTAAAGCCTTTCATAGCTTTGGGACCAGGTTATCTGAGGGAGGCAAGGAATGTTGTGGGTCCTGTCCCCTAAGGAGATACATCTTGACGGGACCCAGAAGAAGGGCCTTCTCAATGGTGGCTCCTCTCTGGAATATTATCCCTCCAGAGGTTAGACGCCCCCACTCTTAACACTCTTTCGGAAGGCCCTGAAGACTTGGTTCTGTCAGCAGGCCTGGGGAACCCATAGCTGGATGGAACCCATTAAATGGCTAGTATGTATATATGTTGTCAGGGTGGAGTTACTATTTTATTTTTATTCCTTTTCCCCCTTTTACATGCTGTTTTTATATCCTTATAAGCTGCCTTGTCGAGTAGGCAGCAATATAAATTTTCTAAATATCATTGTTACCAGAAATATTTAAGTACTTTAATTGATTTTTCTGATCACTCCTTAATCTGATAACAATTGTTTGTTTATACGTTTAATATTATTTTGCAGAAAAGTTTGCATTGTTTCCCCCCCCCCTCTTTTTAGCCTCTATTATAAATCCATACTAAGATGAGCTGAAAGTATATTTGTGGATGTTAGGAGTCAGCATTGATGGCATGTGATCAATCAAAGATGGGCTGGTTAAAATCTGGTTTTTAAAGGAGGAATGTATACATGCAATAGTGCTATGAAAGCATGCAGAAATACCAGTAGCTTCTGAACACCAGATATTTTCTGTTGGCTATAGTTAAAATGAAGTAGTCTGTATTAAAACTTTAATTTGCAGATATTGAACTTTGTCCAAATGATTGATTTTTAAATTTGCAATTTAGCATTTGAGTTTCAGTATTTGAATTATTTGGATATAGTTCCACTTGAAAATGCAGGTTTGTAAAGTAAAACACTAGACCAATTATATAGAATTTGTTTTATTCCTAGCATTTTCATGCAAGTGGAGGGTCCATTTTATTTAGATCAACTTAGTGCTGATCCATTTATTGTGACACAAATTGACTGAGAGGCTTGTTGCCCAAACCTGACCAGATCAAACTGGGTCTCTGCCCAGTTGAATGCAAGCTGCAAGCCATCTGAAAAAAAAAACTTATGAAAAATCTTACGTTTCTCAGTTTCTGGATCAAAAGTGGGTTTATATTATTTTAATCATTTTTATATCAAATTTAGAAACCACTGCAGGCAGTCCTAAGGCATTGGCAATATAAAGCCAATTTCTGTGTTAAGAATGTCCAACTTAAGGAAAACCCCTGGATATAAACAGGTTGCCTTTTATTTAAAATGGCAAATGTTCTTCAAGCCAACAAGGTGCTGAATCTGCATGTTTTTAATATACAGCCTGTTTTCAGTGGTTCTTGAGGTCATTGCTGTCCTCCATTAATAGGCAGTACAAATTCTAACTTAAATAGAAATTTGGTTAACGACAGATTTAGGGAATGGAATTTATTCACAATCCAGGAACTGCTTGTATTCTGTAATGTCTATTATGTGGACTCCATTACATCTTAAGTACTCAATCCCTTGTTCCATGTTGGGATGGTTTTGAAGTTTGCTGTTGGGGGTGGGTACGTGGGTGATGGAAGGTATGAGGTGTAGTCCTGCCCCTCTAGTGACTTCCCAGGGTTGTGAAAGACTGTTTGAGGCTGGTAAGATGAAAGTAAGGTTGGGTTTCTTCTTCCAAAAAGATGCTTCCCTCAGAAGAAATCTGACAGGTATCTTGAAAGATTGCAGAATTGAGCGTTTAGATTTTCATAGATATGATAGTTGCTCTAATTGTAATTGGTGTGGGTCATTTTAATGTTTGATTCAGATTAAATGCTAAGCCATGATTTTAATTAGGGATTAATGTTTAAGAGAAGGAATTAATCGAAGCAACTTGCCATGAATTCTATTCTTCTACAATAAATATTCAGTGCAGAAAGTAGAATGTCAACTAAAAAGATACTCCTTTGCTCTTTCTAGCTGCCAGAAAAAGGGAGCAGGGGAAAACAGTGCATTCTTTAAGTGCCTAGAGAATCGCCCTGACAGCCCAAAGTTGTTGGAGCGCAATAATATTATTGGAGAGCATAATTGATGATTCTTGGCTATGGATGTGTTCCATTGGAGAATATACATCCAGGAGATGGGGGGACGACCAGGGTCAAGGGGCAAATGAATGATGTATTTTAGTATCGGCTGCATCCAGCTAACGCCAACATGGCCACTTCTAATCAATTTTATTTTTTCTGAGAGATGCGGCTAGAGACATGATTTGAATGGGGGTGGATTTGTTGGAGTCCTGACATAGAGATAAAATACACATCAGTTTTTAATTCAGGCAAAAATATTAATTGGTGAACACTATTGTATATTCTTCTTAATTTATTAACTTTATTGCCAGGTGGGAGAGAAACCATGTTACAGTGAGGCTTATTTTGCAAGTCATCAGATGTAACTGTAACTATATTAATTTGCATTTAGAAATTGCTAAAAGTCTCCTGAAAAATAATGAAATGAAAAAGCTAGTATTACAATGGAAAATAGGATTATCTTCTAAATTGTGCAAAAACTCAACAGCATGTTCTAATAGTTTGCATTATTTGGCATGTTTTCTAAATTCTGATATTTTAGTTGAAACCATTTTAGTTAAAATTGAGTTGTGATTTTTGCCTGTAGAATTATATGCTTCACAATTCATTTTAAATATATGTAAAGCATGACACATGTACAATGCAATGTTTATAAAGCGTCTTAACATTTTATTGTAAAATAATTACTTGGCATTCATTATGGTTCTGTTCATACAGGTCACAGCCTGGGAGTTCTTTATGCCCTTGCTTATTAACTCCATATAAGCACAAAATTGCTGTATGTTTAAAATTCTTTAAGATTTTTTATAGGAACAGCTATTAAACATGGGTTGATGTATCTGAATCACTGCTTACACTGTCAATTAAAATGCAACTCAGGTAGCCATTGGATATTGAAAATTCAAGTATTTTATTTCTCATGCTAAATACATAAAATTTAAATTAGGTACACAAATACTGTGTAAACAAGTCACATTATCATATAATTTCATGTGAAATAAAATTTTTAATTACTGAAACTTTATCCCAAATATACAAAAGTCCATATTCTACAAACTTGGTTCATAATTACAGTATAAAGTGCCAACACAGCAAAACATCCATTCATCATAGCTGAAATACTTAAAGTGGTAAAATAAAGTTTTCTTCTTGAGACGTAAGACTTGGAATAAGGCATGTCTCCAGTTCTTTCTGCTTCTGGAGGAGCCCCTGGAAAGATAAATGAATATGCTTTTACAAAACACTGAAATTGTTTTTCTGCTATTTTAAACAGCAATCATAAATTCACACACAACTTACAGTAGATACCTGTAATGGATACGTTACCCCTAGAAAAAGAGTTATCAATTATATTCTGTTTATGCTAAACAGATTTTAAAATATTTGCTTTGTTAGAAAGTAAATTCTCAGTCATGTAGAAAATGATGGCAATTAAATTTAAAGCGCAGGTGCTTTTCTGGAAGATAAAATTACACCTATAAATAATTTATTCTTTAATAAATAATTCTATAAAGAATTCTATTATCTCAATACCCATAACAAAGTAGATTGCATATTTCTGTACAAATATTTCAATGTAACAACTTTTGATCAAGATCCCTTCTCATTGCAAGTTTAGTTACAGAGCCTAAATGAAAGAATTTTTCTCTCTGAGGCAATGATCATTTGGATTTCAAGTAGAATAGCTATTGTCATTTAGGATACTGACAGCATTTATGAGCCTGTCCTGCAGATAACTGTACATAATGCCTTGTTAATATTGAACTCTAGAGACAGGTGGGGACTGCTCTACTATAACAGCATCCCTACCTGGTATGTTGAAAATCTATTGATTTCCTCAATGGGTGGTAGAATTTCTCAGACTTAAAAGTGCTGGGAGATTTTAATGTGCCTTCCTTGGTGGAAAGGGGTAAGAGGCTGCCTAAGAGGTCATTGCCACCATGACAAACAGATATGAATCATATCATTGACAGCTTGATATATGGAAGACTACAACACCCTAACATTTTTCATTTGAGGATAGATGTGATGATCTTAAGACTAAGGGTATTAACACCTATCCTTGTCATAGTTCGATCATGCTCTGATTGCTTTGGAACTGACTGTTGCTACCAACTTCCACAAGGAGATCCCATTCGATCAGTTTAGGCATTTAAGGAATTACTTGATTTTCAAAGAGTGATTGAGGATCGTCCCAAAGCTCTAATGGGCAGTCCAGCTAAGATTTCAGTTGGAAAAACAGGGCATTAGTGGCTTTGTGCTAAGAGGTCTCCCAGCTCTCCAGTCCAAGGGAACTCCTTGGTGAACAGAGAAGCTCTGGGTGATGAAGCAGCAGAGAAAACACTCAGAAGGATGCTGACGGAAAATTAATCTTACCAATCAGAAAAAGCTCAGGTTTCAGCCTAAATATTGAGCTGTTTGTTACTACATCTGCAAAATTTTACCAATCAGTCCCTTTAAAGATCACATTGAGTGAACATAGAAAGAAAAGGGAGGTTATGAGGAATTTTCTAGACAGCTGGAAGGTCACTTAGATTTGCTCAGAATTTGGTCTCAGCTGGACAGGTCCCATAGAGGTGATGAACATAACTTGCAAAGTTATCTGGGAGGACTTCTAAGGAAATTGACAGAATTCTATGCAAATGTAGACTATCTACATCTGGATTCTCATTTTCCCTGGTTGGTTGAGATCTTCCAATAAGATGATACAAATATAAGTCTAGAAGTTGCTCATGAATCCTTTCTTCTGCAAGTCTGATTGCATTTTTCCATCTTTCCTGACACACTTTTTGTCATGGATATGATGAAGGACAGGGGTGTCAAACTTGCATCATCACGTAATGTATCACAACTTTTCCCCCTTCAACCAGGTGGCGTGGCCAGGGCATGATGCATCTGGCCCGCAGGGCGCATGTTTGACATCCTTGATCTAGGATATTCAACGAACATGGAGTTAAGGATTCAATTGGAGATTAGAATGAGACTGGCTTGATATGTGAATACAGCTGTTACAGCTGTTATTTCAAAGTTTAGAATATTGCTAAGGTTTAAAACATATCAACTAGACATTTCCAAAGAAATACGAAAGATGACATTAGATTCAATAATAAAGAATGGTTAGGCAAAATGAAATGGTCATCTCAAGTGGCAATATGGAATTGGTTTCACAAATTTTCTTTCCATCTTGTGAGAAGTAAAAAAGAAGAAATAATTATTCCTGTAAAAGAAAGAAATGTAAAAGGATCAACATATTTCTCTTCTGTTTCTCTTCTATATAACCTTAAAAAACCTGGCGAAATGTTAACACAGACAGAAGTGCTGACGAGATAAGATCCATTCAGCATAAGTTTAAGCAGAAGTCTATTTGAGGATAGTTGTCATGCTGACCCAGAAGAGAAGTTAGTGTAAACAGAGCAGGATGTAGCAACTGCTGAACAAATGATAAGTAAATGATTAATTGTTAAGCATGTCACTATGGCTAGATTGTGAATCCAGGCAAAATTTTAAATCATCCTAGAATCATCCAATATTAATTTCAACAATTTTAGCCAATTGGGCAGCAGAGAAGGTGGTAGGTGGTAGGTCTTGATGTGTATAAAAATATGTAAAATCGTCTGTTTAATTGCCTTGGTGCCTCAGCCCAGAAGAGGACTAAGTGCCATCTTTTGTGCAAAAGTCAATAAATCCTGGACTTGTTTACAGTGTCTCCTGTCTGTTGTTTTAGCTGAAACTTTGGATTCTCACAATCTTGTTATGAACTGATCCTGAATAAAAGAAGAAATTATAAACATGTTCTCCACCTTTAGTTTTCTCAGTTTTGCATCAGTCACAAACTGGTATGAGTTTCTAAAAAAAATAAAAATAAAACCCAACTGCAAGTAAATTCAATGAAGAAAAAATGGAGGTCAAGCTAGGTTAATAAAAAGGTTTGTGAAGATCTGAAAACATAAAAAGGGCACATCAGACAATGGGAAGAAAGTGGGAGATTACCAAATAAGAGACTCATCTGTACAGAAGTGTACAGATTGAAGTGTACAGATGTATAAGAAAGATGAAGACTAATGAGTTTGGGCTGTATCAAGAATGACAAAAAGATTCTTCAGGTATGTTCAAAACAACGAAGAAAAAGAAATCGGTATTAAGTTACTCAATGAAAATTCAAAAATCACTCAAACGGTGGTTCGTAATCAATTCAGAGAAGTGGTTGATTAGAGTGCAACACTATTAAGTCTTCAGCCATATTCTAGTCACCATTTTTTAACCTAATGTTCTGGCATTAAGAGTTGGAGGGAATGCTCATCCAATATCCAGCTGTATTAAAAAAAAAGGGTGGGTGGGAAGAATGAAACATAAACACATGAAAAACTATTTATTTTGGAAATGTGTGTAACTTTCCCAAGTTATAAACACCTGGAATTTTCTCATTTTGGCACGAGGATGTCTGAAATTAACTTTGAATCATAATTGATTCCAACCAGAATAAGAATCAATAGTGTAATATGGTTGCAATTTAAAGACAATTTTAGTTGCTGCCAGCAAAAATAAAACTTCCAAATTGCAGACTGGTTCAAAGAACATTGAAGGAATTCATTGTTGAACGTAATCCTATGATTGAAAGAGCTGGACCTGTTTAACTTTGAGGTGAGATATGACAGTACTCTTCAAATATCTGAAAGGATGCCATAAAGAAGGTCAAACCCTGTCCTCCATCATCCTAGTATGCAAGGTACAGAATTAGGAATGTTAGAAAATAATCTACTGGCCTCAGTAGTTAGAAAGGACAACCAGCTATGAGGTGGTACACTCCTCTTTGTGGGATGTGCTGAAGCAGAGACTACCGTATTTGCCGGCGTATAAGACGACCCGGCGTATAAGACGACCCCCCACCACCACCGGAAACGCCCTCCAGAAATCCCCGGGGCTGCAGCGGCAGGGCAGAGTGCCAGGGGCCGTGGGAAGAACAGGAAGGCTGCAGCCTCGGGCGGAGCGAGGCGAGCGGGATGAAGCGGAAGCGACGCAGGGGATCCAGGAAGCCAGAGGCGCCTTCGCTGCGCCCAACAAGCATCCGAAAGCCGGCAGTGGATATACCGGCGTATAAGACGACCCCCCCACTTGGAGGCATGTTTTTTGGGGCAAAAAAGTCGTCTTATACACCGGCAAATACGGTACATCTGTCAGGAATGCTTTAGTTGATTTTCCTACGCTAAAGGGATAGACTTAATGAATACTCTTTATCTTTTACCATTGTAGAACATTTCCATTACACACATTTGTAATTTTCCCAGGTGCATTTTTGTTTTCTGGTTAAACAATAGTAACACAATTACTTAATAAAGTTATTTACAGATGAGAAATAAATAATTAGAATAGGTTAGGCTGATAAACGGCATGGACAAAAACATCAAGTATTAAAGAGGATATAAAGATAATTCCATCCATCCATCCATCCATCCATCCATCCATCCATCCATCTTCATTACCTTATTTCCTTTTGAGGTAAGTAATGCAAAATAGAGACAGACTAAAGAATTGGTAACCTACTGTATTTTTTCTACACTGCATGAAAATAAGATTATTTACAAATATAGAGCTGAAACAATAGAAATATGAATAGGTGATGGAGACCTGGACATAATAAATACGTAGTTTGTTTCTTCAAATAAATCAACATGAAAAGCCTGAGCAGCTTTAATGAACGGATGCCATAATACAACAGTTGGATGGTGCAATCAGTGTAATAGCAACTGAGACTATTTCTGCCATGCTTCAATCTAATGTATACAGAAAACTGAAACATCTGAAATAATAAATAAATTACACCATTTCTGGAAAGTCTAACAGATGGAGCTTCAGATGTATTAGTTGCTGCCTTCTGCTCTGGATTTATGATGGCAAGTGGAAATGAGTAACACTTGCCAGTAATATTTCCATTTGCCATCATAAATGGGTATTCTGAAAGGCACTGGAAAATACAGATGACTACTGGGAGTTATATTTATTAAAAGAGTAATGGAGGATTATTCAAAAGGATTAATTCTAGTTATTAATCAAAGCATAATAATAAGAACATTGGAAGAATATCTGAAGGACAGTGAAGAAGATGTACTGAACCTAGCACACCGCAAAGTTTTACTGCATACTGGAGAGACCAAACTGGCCTACAAGAAAGACCAAATGAAGAATAAAAAAGAGACATGGCAAGGCAAAGTGTTTACATGTCCAGTACATTAAAAAAATAGGCAAAGCAGATGACAAGACCTGGCAATAGCATTAACACCCTCAAACAAGAACTATCTGCTTATCCAAGGTCCTTGGGAAGGACTTGATAGGTGGATAAAAAGGCCAAGTCCAATCTAAACATCTGGCTGACTGCAATTAACAATAATAGAATAGTGATATTCTCCTAAATGAAGGGACACATAATGTATCATTTGGAATATTAGGAATATCACCTTTATTATGTAAATATTTTTCAACATTAAAGAATAGAAATGTTTAAAATGGAAATTACTTGACCTATTAAACATTTAGAAAGCATAAAAAGTTGCATAGATACTGATATATTTGATGTTAATAATTTGAAATTAATATGAAGACTCTTAACACATGTAATACAAGAACTTTTAGAAGTAGAAGACATTACTATAGTTCTATTCCTGCCAAATATCAGAAAGACTGGTTTTTTTCCTGGGACTTGACTATTATATTAATCAACAAGAGAGGCAAAAGGATTGTGACTGATGCAAAACTGGGAGAGCTAAAGGTGAAGAACATATTTATAGTTTCTTTTTTATTCAAGAAGACTAACTCATAACAACAGGGAAAGAAAATTTGTGGAAGGAATTTCTACCAGTTTCTGGAACAAGGACACTGTGTAGTTTTAGGGTTATATTTGTAAATATGTAACACAAAAGGGTATTCCTCAATAAATGGAGATCAATTTTAAATATTCAACCCCACTAATCATAGAAAAATGGTTGCAAATATAGTGTCTGTCTGTAGAAACATGATTATAAATAAACGGAACAGTTCTGTTATGTCCAATAGTTTGAAGGAATTTTCCTCCCAATTTGCATGACTCTAAACATTTCATACTTTTATGAAAGCTTTAGAAAAGTTAATCAGAAGCAGAATATATGAATTATGTAGAAGCACATTACATGTAAACCATATTGTAATAACTGATTAATGAAATTTTTGTATCTTTTTTTACAAAATGGAAACATTGCAAACAGAATGTAACCTTAGAGTGAAAAATTCAGCACAAACGATCAATAGTAAACAGTGCGATATCAGTGGACTTTATGAAAAAGTCAACAGCAACTTTACTACACCGAAGTAAATTATTACCTCTCGCAGCTCTGAAAGTCCTTTGAGTATGGCTTGCTGCCTGTCTCTCACCGTATTAGGATTAAAAAGAGGATCCCTTATGTGATCAGAGCTAAAAACCTGTCGTGGTTTATGGTAAGTATCTAAAGATAAATATAGATACAATTAATTGTAATATAAACAATTAGTGTCATTTTTAATATTGTGCATGAATAAATTATGGCATGTCTTAGCTTAAAGTTTGTGTGGAAGAGAATGCATATATAGCCTTCTAAAGAATTTAGTTTACCTTTAGCCAGTTTCAAAAATACAGTTTCACAGAAGCAGTATTCTACATTTACTGATAGAACAGCAATAACAATAGCACTTAGACTTATATATTTATAGCAGGGGTCGCCAACCTTTTGGACCTCAGGGACCACCAAACTCATAATTTTAGATCCCAGGGACCACTAACCGGTTCTGTGGGTGTGGCCTAATTTGTGGGTGTGGCTTGGTGGTCATGTGACTGGCTGGGCATGGCTTGTATTATAAATATTTATATAAATATTGAACTTTTTATAAAAAAGAGCAACTTTTACCCAAAATCAGGCAAAGCAGGCAAGCAGATTGAGTTGCTCACAGAATCACAGATTCATTCAGAGATCTATCTATCTGCCATTGGCTAGCTCACTCTGTCACATAAAATTTGCTTAAAAGCAAAGTCATAAAATTTGCTAGCAAGTAAACTCACAAAATTAACTCACAACACACCACGTATGTAAATATTGATTTTTTTTTATAAAAAAAGCAATTTGTACCCCAAATCAGGCAAAACAGGCAGATTGAGTTGCTCACAGAATCCATTCAGTGATCTATCTGCCATCAGCTAGCTCAGTCTCTCAAATTTGCTTGCCGTGAGTCTGCACTGAATTTGCTTGCAAGCAAACCTTCAGTCCTAAGGGAAGCAGAGCCAAAGATCTAAAGACTAGCAAGAAATCCAACCATTTTCTGCTTCCTAGCTAATCTAAATCTCCTGGCACAGCAGAATAATAATGATAATGTTCGGAAAAAGGAAACAGCAATTTTAGCAGGCAAGTTTGCCGGGTAAGGAGTGGGTGGGGAGCGTTCCTAGGGGCCATGTGGGCTGCTTAGCCTTGTGTTTCTGTGCAGCTTGGATTAATTGCTTTGGGGAGGTACTCTGGGGGTGAGATTTCTCTGCGGCCCACCAAAATTTTCTCATGGCTCACCAGTGGGCCATGGCCCACCGGTTGGCGACCGCTGCTTTATAGGGCTTTACAGCCCTCTCTAAGTAGTTTACACTCACCCTATTGCCCTCAACAATTTGGGTCCTCATTTTACTGACCTCAGAAAGATGGACAGCTGAGTTAACCTTGAGCCGGTCAGGACTGAACTCCTGGCAGTGGGCAGAGTTAGCCTGCAATACTGAATTAAAACCATTGCACCACCAGGGCTCAACATGAGATCTATGTGATTAACTGTTAGTGACCCCATGGATAAATTTTCTCCTTGAACATCTGATTACAAATAGAATATATTTATGTTTAGATTGATAGATTTAAAATTAATGTTTTTCTCTTAAATATTTCATTTTGTTCAGTACTGAATTAAAACAGCACCGTAAAACAAGCAGTACATTAAAAACTTTATTCAGTAACCATAAGCATTTCTTGAATTCTCTACTGCAGTACCATTCAGCTCTTGGTATTGTGGCTCATGCGTGGAGGGCCTAGTCAAAGGTGCATCTGGATCAAGGTAATATATTTCATTTGTTCGCACGTAAGGAACAAAATGAGATGAAGGAGGCCTTTCAGCTTCAGCAGTTGGAAGAGGCCTTTCACACCGATGCTGATCTGTAGAAATACTTTTTGGGCTTCCATTTTTGCTGTTATGAACTGGGAAATCAGAAGTCTTTAGTTGTTGCTGTAATCTGTTTTTAACTGCTGGAACAGGTGGAGAGTCAGATCTGTTTAGAACAAACAATTCAGCTGCAGAAAATAATTTCAACCGGAATTTTCTTCATTTTATCAATCTATTATTAATTTCTGCTTATATTTAAATGCAATCTTGAAAATGCAGATCTCCTTCCACACGAACAGTCTTTATTTTGTTTAAGGGTAATTCAAAGGAGCTATGAGTGAAGGTGAAGTTGTTTGATATTTGATATTTTAACGAACTCGTGTACATTTGATTTCTTAGTGCAAATTTTTTCTCTAACAAGAATAGCTAAAACTTTGGAATTTATGCTAATTTTACTTTTAAATACAGTATCATAAAAATTGAGAACTTGATTATATGTTACACAGATATAAAATCGATACTTTACTAGAGAAAGACAAGCTAATACCAACCTTTGTTCAAACAATTTTTTTGAGAATTGTTCTTCCTAAAATAAGATGAAAATAAACAAAGTTATTTTCACCACATTGTATTCCATAATGAACCCTATAATGAATCTTCTGAAATCTTCCCCATTGAGCTTGCTTGCCAGAAATTGGCAAAAAAGGTTGCAAATGACAACCATATGACAATGGGACACTATGATGGCTGGAACTCTGAGGACCAGTCATAAGTACCACTCATTCAGAGCAGGTTAGAATGGTCAATGAATGGTGGTTACCCATGGGCCACCTGTACCTCTGGATCATGGGTGTAAAACTCGATTGCGTCATGGCTCAGATTGTGACGTATCGTGACTTTTTTTTACCTTTGCGGAGCCGGGGTGGGCGTGGCCTGTGCATGATATATCTGGCTGGCGGACCACCAGTTTGACAGGTCTGCTCTAGACTGATGCAGAGTTTTAGAGGGATTCCAATATTAATTCAATTTATATAAATAAATAATAATGAAAATTCTAATAGCAAATCAAGATGCTCAAATTTCTTTGGTTAAATTGTCCCATGATGCCGATAATTTACATTTTCAGATTTTCCACTTTAAACCTAGACATTTATTTTAAAGCCTATGAGAATGTTTTCCCCCCAATATTACCCACTTTGAGCTTGATTAGAAGGAAATGTGTAACAACAGAGATAGCTGAGATTGTTTTTTCCAGTTTTGAAAGCCGCCAGGGATATTTGGTCAGTTAAATTAAACTAATTTTAAACTATTAAATTAAGTGGCTAACTTTTAATCCAAATCACACGAGAAATTTGATCTGAACCTAATTTGAAGACAGAGGATAAATAGTTTTATTGGAAGTTTGGGGCCAAGCAAGAGATAAATACTTTACATCAGTTTATGGATAATTTTAAGGATTTCAGACTATGCTGAGTATAACTTAAAATTATCGGCTTGGCAATATATATAAAATGAAAACATATATTGATCAAACAGTATAATTTAGATACGTTAGCAATTTCAGAGATGTTTGGAATTCTAAAATCTGTGAGACACTTTATTTGAAGTGAAATCAGTAATACAATTTTATTCAAAACAAAAAATGTGATGAAGTAAACATTGGTAATATGTTTGAAATGTAGGAGGAATTCGAATATCCAACTTTAGAAAATCAATGGGTCCAAATTTCAAAAACCATAACATATATATCTAAAGAATCAATTAAATTCAACAGAAAATGAAGTGTGTATTAAGAACCCTGGCTCTACTGATTACAGATGGGAAAAAATATTCCTGATGTTAACACCTTCAAGATGTACTGTATTTTCCGGACTATAAGCCGCTACTTTTTTCCCGCGCTTTGAACCCTGCAGCTTGTACAACAATGCGGCTTATCTATAGATTTTTCTTCACTAACTTCCATCAGGGGGCACAAAAACGTGACAGATGCAAGAGGTCAATGCAAAGACGACGCTACTGGTAGTTTTTGGCGTGCTCGACACAAGCAGCACGACACGCACAAATGCAAAATATTTTTCGCACCCTCATCATGGAAAGTACATGAAGAAAAGCATATGATGCAGCTTTTAAGTTGAAAGCAATCGATCTGTCTATCCAGGAAGGAAATAGAGCTGCTGCACATAAGCTTGGCATTAAGGAATCAATGGTGAGACGTTGGAGACGTCTGGCCGCATGCGAAGAGCATTCTTCTCTTTCTGTGTAAATATCTCATTTCACAACGTATATATCTGCGGCTTATAGTCTGGTGCGGCTAATATATGTAAAAAAAAAATTTCTTTAAAAATTTAGTGTGTGCGGCTTATATTCTGATGCGCTCTATAGTCTGGAAAATACGGTATCCCTCTATCAAAATTTTAAAAGTCTATTGTAAAAATAAGAAAATGCAGCAATGCATTTCTATGTGTTCTGGATTTAATAAATGTAAGGACCGAATTAATTTTATTATACTAATACATGGCTCTTCTTTCTTCTTCTTTTAATCACTTGTAGTTACATACATGAGAAGAGAATGGAGAAGAAGAAGAGGAGGAAAAGGTGCTGGTGTGGCATAGCGCCAGTAGCATACTTAGCACTGCACAGCAGCATACATCATTCTTAGAAATACTTCTGAGGAATTTTCATTTTTTAATTTGATTTTTTATCCAGCCTTCATTACTTAATAGGTAACTCCAGGTGGCGAACATACATAACATCCTTCCTCTTCCTATTTTCCCCACAATAGCAACCCAATAAGATGGGTTGGTCTGAGGGAGTGTGACTAGCCCAAAGTCACCAAGCCAGCTTTCATGCCTGAGACAGAACTAGAATTCGCCGTCTTTTTAGTTGCCGCTTTAACCACGACAGCAAAATAACTCTTATTATTTTGTTCTTCTCATAAATGTAATTCAATTATTTATAGCTGATTTTGTGGTATTTTCTATTATACTTCATTTCTCTGTGTGTAACATTCAATTTACCACTACTGCAAGTATTTATACTTGTCTGAGACAATGGTTTACGACTAGGCCATCCTCACATTTTGAAGGCACTTACTTTACTTTTGACCTCATCTTCCTGGCGAGGTGAGAGGGCTCTATCTGGGGAAACCCCATTTTTCTTGCAAAGATTACCAGGGGTGTTTCTTTCAACCAACTGAAGCAATGCCATTTGTCGCTGTGCTTTCTTTTCTTCCCTCTGCTTTTGCTGGAGTCTGGGATACTTCTCAGAGGCCGGAATATACCTTTTGCAAGGTTTGTTTATGTTCCAGTCCATCTTTTCCCCATTTTTTCCCCCTGCCTTCGGATGTTTCTGCTTTGGGGGACACTGTTCATAGCGACTGCAACAGCTGATAATATTCTCTTTTTCTGAAATCTTTTTATCTAGATATTGTTCTTCTTTCTTGCTTCTTTTATTGCTGAAGTCCATTATATATTCTACAGCAACATCTGGAGATGCACAGTCCATTCTTCCTTCCCCAGCTGGTGTAGGGGAAATTTCAGAATCAGTGGGAAAATCAGTGATTGCAAACTCTAACCAAAAAAAAAAAAAAAAAGTTTAAATAATTCCTTCAATATGTTTACTCAAACATCACCCATAATAATTAACATTACTCTAAACTTTTTACTCTGAATGCCAGTTAAGATTTAAAAAAAATCAGCATTAGTAAACAAATTTAAAACTGGGGATGTTTATCCAAATTCTTAAATTGACCTTATCCAAGGTGAGTATATGACCACTAAATCCAATGGAAATAATCTCCAATATGATACTGTAGTGAGAGTTACATTATATTAGTAATAAATCTATTCCAACATAATTTATCTCTAATCACTAATAAAGCCTAATACTCTACATCTTCTTTATCTTTTATTTTCAATGTGAATCTATCCATCTTTGCACAATCCAATATTTTCCAAATTATATTTTCATCTGATAGGGTGTTCTCATTTTTCCAATATTGTGCAAATACAATTCTTGCTGCAATCAGAACATGTAAAATTAAATATATCATAGCTTTCTGGTATAATACCTAACAAAAATATTTCTGGCTTCAAATCTATATGCTGCTTAATCATTTTTTATTTGATTTGTCAATTGCTTACAAGATAATAGGTATAAGTATAAACATAGTTATGAATACATGGATACATATAAGAAAAATAAAAGAAACAACCATTTTCCAACCATGTGTGTATTTTTGTCCAGTATTTTCTTGCTTTCGTACATGTCCACCACATATGATAATAAGTACCTGGGGTTTGATTACACTTCCAGCATTTGGAGGACATGTTAAACATTTTTGCTAGTCTTGCCGGTGGCAAATGCTACCTATAAAACATTTTGTAGAGATTTTCCTTATAAGCAATAGCCATTGTCAGTTTGTAATTCCTATCCCAAAGTTTTTGCCATTTATCTAGTTCTTGTATAGCTAAAGTTTTTTGCCCCTACTATCGTTTCTTTAACTTGTTCATCTTGCATTTTAAAGCTTATTTTCCAAATTAAGAAGATTTGGATGTATAAATGCTTCCATTGTAGAAAGCCAGACTGGTATTTTCCTATAGTTTTGTGATTTAATTTTTTCCCATACTAAAAGTAAAGCATTCCTCACATAATGTTTTTGAAAATATCTATGTGCAGTACTTCTCCCATACCATGAAAAAGCATGCCAAACTAATTGAAGATCATGTCCCTTCAATAATAATAATCTTATATGCCTCAAATTCTTTTATCCATGTAAGTACAGATGACTGATAGTATAGCTCCCTATCTGGTAGCCCAAAACCCCCATTGCCTTTGGACTCCTGTAACATTTTCAATGTTATTCTTGCCAGATATATTTCAAAATGGTTTTATTTAATTCTTCAAAATACTTCTTCCTCTAGTTTTATCGGTATTGTTTGAAATAAGAAAAGTAAATTTCGCTAATATATTCATTTTTATGGTAGCTATTCTATCATTGATAGTTGTAAATTCTTCCATTTCTCAAAATCCAACTTAATTTGTTTCATTAATTTTGTGTAGTTATCATCTTTAATTGTTGCACATCTTGCTGTTAAGTGGATGCCTAAATATTTCATTTTCTTTACTATCTGAAGGTCTATTTTCTCTGTCAATTCATTTCTCTATTTGTCTGTAAGGTTTTTTTGGTAATATTTTAGTTTTTTCTTTATTTTCAATCCTGCAACGTCTTCATATTCCTTGATTTTCCCTATCAATCTGGGGCCGGTTTCTAATGGTTCCAGTATAAAAACCAGATCATCTGCAAATGCTTGTAGTTTATATTTCTTTATTTCCATCCCTTTTATTTCTGGATCCTATCTAATATTTCTAGTTAACACTTCAATGTTAATATAAATAATAATGGGGATAGTGAACATCCTTGTCTTTTTTTTTTTTTTTTAAATATAGAAATTTTCTGTCACATCTCCATTCACCATCACTTTTGCTCTCTGGTTTGTGTAAATCGCCTTAATCATATTTATAAATTTTTCACCAAAGTAAGAGACATTTTGAAAGTAGTGTCTAAATCAGTGACAGCAATCGCTAGCATATCAAATCGCTAGCATTTGGTGAGCCTGATGAACCTGCTTCCTCCTGCCAGCTGTCAGGCCATGCACTTTGAACAGAGTGTAGTTTCTGAGCTATCCAATGGCAGACCCACATACACTGTGTTACAGAAGGGCAAGGTGCAGCAACTGCAGAACTGTTACGTCTTTTGATTGACCTGCATTTTCCAATTAACACTTTATAGCAATAGCACTTAGACTTATATACTGCTTCACAGTGCTTTACAACCCCCTCTAAGTGGTTTAGAGTCAGCATATTGCCCCCAACTATCTGGGCCCTCATTTTACTGACCTCTGGAAGAATGGAAGATCAAGTCAACCTTGAGCCTGGTGAGATTCGAACTGCAAATTGCAGGCAGATTTATATTTTATATAAAGTGTTTATTTAAATACTGATATTTTAAGTTTCGTACTTTTTAATATTCTGTATTTCACATTGCAAAATATTATTGTATATGACATGTTTTGTTTTTATTAGTTTCCTCACAGTTGGTTTTTCTAATGCATTCTGTGATGTATTTTTAATTGTCTGTACACTGCTTTGTCTCATTCTATTTTGAAAGTTTATACACTGAAATAAACAAACAAAGGCTCATCTGGCCTAGGTATTAATTCAAGCTGAAAAGTGTACAGGTTTTCTCTAGGAGCCACTGTAATTGAAGAAAAAGGAGGGAAGTGAATTGAGCGCAAGTTATCCAATGTGGCTGGATTGAGAGATGTCTCCTTCAAGAGGGGCTACCCAACTGCTTTAAAGTCAGGTGGTACCTTCCCACTCTTAAAAAAAAGTTTATCACAACAGGTTTCAGACGTCACCCTTTATCCAACTGCCCCAAAGGAGACAGATGGGGCACAAATCCAATCCACAGCAGGAAGAGCTCATGCTAAGGGTACCCTGTCTACTTCCTCAGTTTCTACAAACTCAGAAAAATTCCAGATGCCCTCTCGAAGTGTTTTTCAAGTCAACTCAGCAGTCTGTCCAACTCTGAACAAATGCAAAAGATTTTGTCAGCTACAAAATCTGCAGAAGTGTCACAGTAATGTGTGAGTCCACTAGACTTAGCAAAAGGGTGTGGGGTAACACCAAACAGGATTGTTGAACAGGAGTCTGCCAAAGCAATATAGCGTGGAAAAATACATTAAAAAAAGTTGCATAATGAATTAAGGTACCTGTCTGCACAGCTGTGTCTTTCTGAGGAGATAAATTACTTTTCTTTCTCTCATTTGTTTCATTGTTAGTCTCTGAAAAACAGTGCTTCTGATAATTAGGAGTCTCCAAAACCCCATTCAAGTCAGTGTAATTATTCTCCTTAGTTGTATCACCTAAAGAGAAGAAAAGTCAAAGAACATTCCAACTCTATATTTCTTAACATTAGTTTAATGCTGAACTCAAACCTTTGTTTTTGTCAATACTTTTAGCATAAATACTACTTAGTAAGGCAGAGTAGGAACAAGGAAATTATATATACATACACACACATTAACATGAATACTTATGAAAATATCACCCCAATATCTGCCAATAAATTGAACTTTTCAAACTAAACAGATGGCCCAATCTAGGTGTACCTTACATATTACAAAAACTTTCCTTTAATTTTATTTTTTTTAAAAAACAGCATATGTGTAAAATAAAAGTTCCATAAAATATATAAAAATATATTCTAAAAAGAAAAAAAAAGTGAGGAGAAAAAGTGAGGTAGTGCTATATAGGAAAAAATGTTAATATTATGGTTACATGTACCGTAGTTAAATTTAGTTATAATACACCATCAATAAGAGACTGTATTCAAAGTGTTTTCAAAAACATTTTCAAAAATCTGTTGGGAAATATTTTGTGTTCTAAGAAGTTTCTCACATCAAGGAATATAGAAACAAATTTTCATTCAGTTCTGTATTATTTTTAAGTATGATACTAACCAAGGTTCTTTTGCAGTTTTGAAGTGTCATGTCCTTTCTGAGCCAAACTTTTAATCCGCTGCTCTTGCTTTAATCTTTGAGCTAATTCTTGAGCTTTCTGCATTGTTTGATACAACTCATTTGTTTTAAGGGTCATGATTTCCTAATAGGATAAAAAAGCATTAGGAAAATCCTATTTTCCTAATAGGATAAATAAAAGCAAGAATACTGTAAAAATAAACACTAAACCTATTTAAAACACTGTATGTTTGTTTGCATATTATAAGATATTCAAAGGAGAAATCTGCATGAGTATCTGAAAGAGATAAAGTATTTTTAAGATGTTTCTAACGCAATGCTGCCAATGGAGGCAGAGGGTAAATAGCAACTAGAAGTGAAAAAGGGACAAACAGAACTGAGAAACTAAGTGAAAGAAATATATGAGAACATTATCCTGGGCATGACAATAAACCTCTCTCTACAAATGCACATTCACATAGCAACAGAAGATTCAAGGAAGAGGTAAGTTGTTTTTATTACAAATATGGAAGTGAAATACCACTCATGCATCATCACAAAATCTCCAGAACTGTAAAGCCTACAAACTTGAAATTTGGCATGTATGTTCTTCTTGGCTTCTAGGTGCTCACCAAGAAAGGATTTTTCAAAATGACCATCAGTGCATTAGTATTTTGTATATTATTATTAACACGCTCTGATGCTAAGGAGTTTTACTCCCCCTCCCTACCTGAAAAGAAATCTGTTCCAAATGCAAAACACAAGCAGAGGAGAGGAGTTTCAGTTTCAGTTTAACTTTCACAGCACCAAGCACCTTTAGTACAGAACAGTTGAGCTAAGTCATGCCCAGTCTCCTTGCTGTCTCCTTGCTCACTCAGCAAATACTGTTTCAGTTTCCATGTTTCAGTTTCCAAACAGCCCTCAACTCTCTCAAACACTGACAGGACACTAGCCAGAGGAATACCGATGGATGCTGGTAGGCAGAGGCACATTTCCCCCCCCTTATTTTCTTCCCCCAAAACTAAGCCTGATAGTCTTGTAACACAGGTATAAAGCTAGTTTAGTCATATTTATCAATCAGCACAAGAGTTTAAATCCTGCATCTCTTTCTCTTACCCATATGTAGTAATAAATTTTTGTCATCTATTTTTAAGCCTTGAATGTTGCAGGTTTTTTGATAAGTTTTGTTTGGGCTTAATTCTGGCTTTGCTAGCTTCAGCCCTCACTGAAGAAGCAAACAAGGACAAAAACCTAAATAAAAATTTCAGAAATATCTTGTTGCTTGAGTAAGGCTTTAAGTGGAATTTTTTCAATTTCATAATCTTTGATATTTCTTCAGCCTGAGGGTAAATAAACCCAGCTTAAATAGAAACCTGACAGACATGCAAGAAATCCTATGGGGGATTTCTTAATAATTTTTTAAAATCTTCCCAATCCCTGCAATTTCACCAGGCTTTACCCTAAAGTTTCTTTAGAGCTATAAAGCCATTGAAACAGAACTTCATTATGCTTTTCAATAAACAGAAAACTCTCAGCTGCACCAAATATCACTTATTTGAGGCTGATGTGGATTGGCAGTTTATTGCCATGGAACACGTGAATGTTTACCTCTTTTAGTTTTTGCTTTAGCAGGTCTTCTTCAAACTGTTTCTTCATCAATTCCTGTTCTCTGGCAAGCCGGTGCTCTTCTTCTTGTTCTTCCATTCTTCTTTGTTCCTCTTCTACCTGTTTCTTTTTTCGCTTTTCTTCCACTTGAGCCATTATAGCTTTCTAGAAACCAAATTTGCAACATGTTTTAATCTACGCTAAAAGCTTCCTTCGTCCTATTCTTCTTACTTCGTTTTGCTTAGGTTTTTTTTTTTATTCTGAGTCATTAAAACTTTATATCGGTCTTCGGTATAACTGGTTGAAAATACAGTATATGTAGAAAAACATATACAGTGGAGCTACTTGATCTCAAAAAAATCATTGCATTCAATTGGACGGCTTCTCCAATTCAAGCAAGCTTTTTTTTTCAATTCAATTCAATTCAATTCAATTCAATTCAAGAGGTTTCTCAAACCGGAAGTCAAAAGCAGCAGCTAGGAGATGGTGCTTTCTACTGCTGACAAAACTTATCGTAATTTTGTTTAGGACAATTTCTGCTTAAATGGATGTATGAGAAAAGGGTCAAGTGGTGGTTTACAAATAGATTATGAAATCATCGGTTTCAAAATGTACCTCCATTCTTAAAATGATAAAAACTCTGTTACCATCTGGCTCCCTTAAAAATTCAAAGAAGAAATGATACAGATAAGCCTGTATTACTGAGAGATTGGAAATGTATGTGTCATAAACTTATTTAAAAATAATTAGGTTTAGTTTGAGAAAAGCTGTGTCATGGTCCTAATCACATTCTAAACTTCATTCTATTGGCACAGTTCACTTTACTTGTTCCATTTGTTTTGTGTTTTTTTTTTATCCAATGCTAGTGCTTTCTCTTTTAATCCAATGCTAGTGCTCTTACAGAAAAACATAAATCAATAAACTAGAAAGGCAACATTATAGTGATTTTACCTGATGTTCTAATTGTTTTTGTCGTCGTCTTCCTCGTTCCTCAATCTGAGCAGGATCCAGAAGAGCAGTCATTGAACGAAGGAAACTATCAGCAGAGGGGAATTTGGAAAGATATGTAATTAAACAAACCGTAGCTCTTTGTCACAAAGCACCACATCTTTTCCTAGAATCTCCATCGTCCTATCCCCCCTCCCTTTTCATTATTTTCCAGGGTCCCTTTTTAACTTTTAACCAGGGGACTAAGAGATCTGAATTAAATTATAAGAAGTCTGGATTTACATAAAAGAGTTAGAAATCAACAAAGAAACAGAGATAATGTTAGTAAAAATAAAATTACATTCACTGAACAAAACAGTTCTGAAAAAAATACCTAGAGTTTCTGCCTATATTTTTCCTTCACTAATTTTTCCTTCAGGAGACTAGATACTATATTCAAAATAATTTCACACAAATAGCTTTATTCTCTAAGATGTGTGTGTGTGTGTGTGTGTGTGTGTGTGTGTGTGTGTGTGTATTTAAACAAGACAAATCTGTAGAAAAAAAAGATATCCTACAGTAATAGCAATAGCACCTAAATTTATATACCACTTTACAATGCTTTACAGCCCTCTCTAAGCAGTTTACAGAGTCAGCATATTGCCCCCAACAATCTGGGTTCTCATTTTACCCACCTCATACGGATAGAAGGCTGAGTCAACCTTGAGCTTGGTAAGATTCGAACTGCCAAACTGCAGGCAGCCGGCAGTCAGCAGAAGTAGCCTGCAGTGTAACCACTGCACCACCATGACTCATAATGCAGATAAATAAGAGTTGCAAGTACAAGTAAAATTAATTTATTGAAAGAACAGTTTTATAGGTTATGCTGATTAATGCCAGGTTACAACCTGGGAGAAAAAGTTTAGGCAATCACCTGGCTTTTTGATTTGGCTCTGAAATATAGTTTCCAACTGCTTTTCCTGGAATCTCTATCTCTGTAGGTGTGAGGCAAGACGAAGATGAACAAGCTGTATGGTCATGGGAGAGCTGTACAGCCTCAGGAGTCTTTTGATATGTTGTATTTAAAGGATATTGTATAAACGAATTCATATGATTCTTGAAAGAATCAAAATGCATTGTCCATTTGTCATGCTCTTCACCCTAAAGAAATACAAAGAAAATATTTAAATATATGTCCACATTTTCTTTTATGAAGCTCAAACGAAAGTGTTAGGGGCACAACAGAACCACAGAATGGGGGGCTTAGCTGTTTAGACTGAAGCTTAAAACTCCCTTAAATTTTGGACTATTAGGGATCAGCTCTATTCTTTAGGCATCTGCAAGGACTGATCAATATGGATAAATAGGGAGACCAAGCCAGGACCCCACAAATCTAAATCATGGTAGATTTCAGAAGTGCCACTGGGAACTTTCACTTATGAGTTGTTCCATTAAGTTTGGAGGTCTCTGAAGTGGTGGCAAGATGCCAGTCAAGAAGATTCTCTGAGATTATGGGCAAGAGGTCTGAATCTCCAGAGTGGATATTAAACAGGGCCATAGAAATATGCATCCCACCTTGAATGGGACGGAACACTCAATCTAGGGGAACTTTTTGATAACATGCCACTAAAACACTGCGACTTTTCATATGGCTTGTGCCAATTTCTTCCAAACAGCCATTTATATTTCACTTTTCTCTTTTTCCATAGGGCTATATATTCTTGTTACAGGACACAGATGTAAAGCATGCTCATTAGTGAGCTTAAAGGTCATAGATGCTCCAACATGCTTGACTAGCTGTGGAGCACACTTTGTTAAACCAAGGAGCGAGGGAATTAGGATTGAATGCCTGGACAGTATATTTCATCTCAAAAATTCCACTGAAATATACCGTATTTGCCGGCGTATAAGACGACTTTTTTGCCCTAAAAAACATGCCTCCAAGTGGGGGGGTCGTCTTATACGCCGGTAAATACATTGTCACTCGGTGCAAGAGCGACGGGGGCGGAGCTCCGCAACTTGCGAAGCCCCTTCAAGCCCAGCCGAAGTCTCTCTTCCTCCTCCTCCCACCCACCCACCCACCCTCCGCCCGGCTCGGGGCGCTTGCGGAGGCCAATCTGGAGGTGGGGTGGGGGTGGAGCGGGAGGGTCTCTGGCGGGGCCGCTTCGCCCAGCCAGCCCCGAGCCGCGTAATGGCCCGGGGAGTGGGGGGGGGAGAAGGTGGTGGGGGTGGACTGTGGCGCCCCTCCTTCTGGGCAGCGAGGCGGGGGGCGGCAATTTGCTCCTCCCGCTTCTCCCTCCCTCTTTGAAAGACCGGGAGGGCTGTGCTTGGGGCGGGGGGGGGTGTCCTCAGGAAGTTCCTGATGGGACCCCGCTGGGCAGGGCCACCCGGCTCCCGAGCTGCTTTCCAGGGTCCCCTTGGGAAGAAAAGGGTCCGGTGGGCGGTGGAAGAAGGCGAGCGCCCTCCTCCCGCCCCCTGTCCCGTCCCGTCCCTCTTGTCCCCTCCTCCCCTCCCCGCTTAAGAGAGAAAGATCTGCCTCCCCTGCACCGAGCTTCCACCCGGCGCCGCGTCTCCCGGCCAGCGCGCGCTTGCGACTTGGGAACCGGCCAAGCGACTTTAAAACCGAGCGGAGGCCAGAGATAGCCGGAATTACCCTCCACACCACACACACACACACACACACACAGAGAGAGAGAGAGAGAGAGAGTTGGCAGCTGTCCATCCCCCACCCTTGGAGTCCCGATGGCACGCACGCGGGGGCTGTCACAAAGAAAGGGAGAGGAATTGAGTGCCAGCCTGAGAAAGGCGAAGCTGCCTCTCTAAAGCATTTTGGTGGCTTTGTAAGTTTGGGGGAAAGGGGTTGGGGGTGTCAATCAAGAATTATATCCAGAATACCCCAAGTGTTACAACTTACCGTATTTGCCGGCGTATGAGACGACTTTTTTGCCTTGAAAAGCATGCCTCCAAGTGGGGGGGTCGTCTTATACTGCGAGTATATAACAAAAACTATATTTTGAGTGGAAATGTTGGGGGCTCGTCTTATACGCCCAGTCGTCTTATACGCCGGCAAATACGGTATTAAAGACATCCTCCACACCAAGCAATTACTGTTTGAGTTCAGGAATGTTTGATATATTGACAAATTGTTGAGAAGCATTTGTAGATTTCACTGGACCATTTATTTGAGGGTTCTTAAAGCTTGAGTAGCCAGGATTCAAATTTTGTATGCTAACTGGAATCTTTATTTTCCCTAGCAATTTCAATATGCACGTTTTGTACTTCCATTGCTATAATTCTGTTTTCTAAGAAAACAGCTGGATTAATGTTTTTATTAGACCTTCCATTTTTTTCTTATTTAAAGTGGCCTTTATAACCGTGACTACCTTCAAAAAATTACATTTTTCTTCCATCTTTCGCAGCTTGTCAGCTTCCTTTTGCTTATCAAGCTCTTCAAGCCATTTTTTCTGTTGCTCACGTTTCACAGCACTAAAAGGATGCTCTATTGGTGTTGCTTCCTAAAAGGAGAACACTGGTTATTTTCGTTGCCCCTTTACTTTTGTCATACATGTACATAAAAAAGGAGGAAGTTAAATAATTTCAGTTTATCCAATTTGATTTTAATCTTTAGCCTTTGCCCTACGTATTTGTTGTGGTTAGCCGGCAGCAGGTGCAGATGGCTGAGGAGAGCGAGGACTCTGATGAAGGGCCAGGACCATCAGGGAGTGAACTGCCTTCAGAGATTGTGGGGGCTGGCAGCAGTGACGAGAAGGTTCCCGAGGAGCCTGTGCCAAGTGCACGTACATGAAGGATTACTCGGAGGAAAGAACAATTACAGCAGCACAGGCAACTCGGGAGTAAGGCTGCAAGGTAATGGCCCCTCCCTCAAGAGGATAAAAGCCAGGTTTGTGAAAGCGTTCTTTGCAGAAAGCAAAGAAACTCTTAAGCTCAATTGGTGGACATCTTAGTTCGTGAATCTTGTAAATTAGTTCTTATCTCTGGGTTTTTGGCAGCCTTGACAAACAACTTGGCAAGGCTCTTTCTTGTTGGAGATAATTGTTGGAAAGCAGCCTTTTATCTGTAAAGTAACAGCATTCGTGATTAAACCTTGAAAGATGGGGGCTGCTGCTTTTGTCTGTGTTTGCTCTCTGAGAACCCGGATGGGTCAGAACAGTATTGTGGGTAATGATCATATTATTTCTGACTGCAATTTAAGGTACTGAAACCTCTTGTCTTTGAACTACTTATTTCTTCAAGACTGTTGCATTAAAATCCTTGCTGAGCCATCAAATATTTGGAACTTGAGATACCAATTAGGTTGGGACATTTTAATTTTAAACTTCAATTTAATTATAATTACTGTGTATTTTGAATATATAGGTAGTCCTCGACTTACAACCATTTGTTTAGCAACCCTAACTTATGGCTAGTCCCAATTGTGGTTATAAGTTGAAGACTACCTATATAATTATATCTATATCTATCATTTTTGACGTACATTCATTCTTATGTGTCTAAATAACCTGTATAGGTACAGGAACTTTATGACACAAAATAAACAAAATGTTGTTTTTGATGCATATATATATGGTTTGAAACATTACATACATTTAGTAACTTACATCTTGACCATTTATAATAAAATCAAGTTAGAGGTAATTTTGTCAACCCTGAAGCTGACCTGACTGAGGCCATCTTGAGGCTTCAGTTTTGCCACACTGGAGCTGAGGGGCAGGGAAGGGGGAATAGAGATAGTTGGGGTTTTGTAGCCAAAACAAAATACTTTCTCCTGGGAATCAAGGACATTCCCACAGGTGGTCGGAGAGAGGAGGAGTGAAGTTACCAGGTAACCGGATGGCACCTTGATTGGACCATGTGACGGATTGTTTGGGGGAGGGGAAAACTTTTACTTTTAATTAAGTGTAAATGACTTTGAATGTTCCCGTGGTTTTCACCTGCCTGTGCCAATATGAGATGTCCAATAAAACTATTATTTGAGGAACCTACCTGCCTCAGAGGTCAACCTGAAACAAGTAAAAGTTTGCTAATGTCATAGGATTTTCTCTTCATTTCCCTATAGTTTTTGTCACTTCCAAGCCTTCTCTAAATGTCTCTCAATCTTCTGAAACAGAATTGGAAGATGCAGTGTGGATACACTGGCCCATTCCCTCCCATTGATAGAAGTAATATCAGGAGCAGTTAATTGCATTTTTCATTTTCTGCACATCCTTTAACTGTAACCAAATTAGTGCCCATGCAAAATATGGTCCGAAGTGCATTCATTAGATTTGCCTTAAAAGCAGGGGTGGGATGCTGCCAGTATAACTGGTTTGTTGATCACGTGCTTTGCGCTTCATGCACGCACAGCACACATGAACAGCAATATAAAAATCCTTACCGGCTATGTTACTTTAGGGGAGTAACACAGCTGAGGAGCAGCCATCAGCTCTTCCGCACTGATCAGCTGGGACGATAAAGGTCAGTATAGCACAGGGCGGGCAGGCAGGCCCATATGATCATCGGAGCGAACATGTTCGCTCCCAGCTGATCTTCAGAGCTAGGGGTTGGCCCAAACCGGTCCAAACTGGCAGAATCCCACCCCTGCTTAAAAGTATATCAAAACAACTCCAAGTGACATCCCATAAACCAATCTCTTAGAAACTGCCAAATAAAGGCATTCCATGAATATTTTGTTTTTAAAATATAGAACAATGCTCAGAAATCCATTCTTACCCCTAACACAAAAGCTGTTCGGATAGCAGCTGGCAAATCAGGAGAACTGAAACTAGAGAACTGCTCAGTTCGACCACTGGACACACTGGGAGAAGTTTCACTAGGCTCAGTGGTTGAAATTCTGTGACTATTGAGATCTTCTGCTGCAGGAGTCAAGTTGTCTGATGACATCATCTATAACAAGGTATCTTGGTGAATTCAAACATTATACATTAAGAGGAATGTTAAAACCAAATACAACATTATAAGCGATCCTATATTATGTAATTAATTTTACCCATAAAATAATATCAGCTACCTCCTACATTATGCAGCATACCTAATTTTAGGAAAGTTTGGGAAACAACTTCCTCAGGTTGTGAAAATGCCTTATGTCCAATAGCAAAAAAAATAAATAAATGTCAAGTTAAATGGAAGCATCTATTCTATTTAACAGCATACAGTAGAAATAAAAGTATAGATATAAGCATTTTTCTTACAAGAAGTGGATACAGTAAACATGTTATATTTTTTACCTTTTGTCCTTTTTCTAAGCATCTCTTCACTGTATCAATTGCCTGCCGCTGGTGGTATCTGGACTCTGCTTCCAAAGTTTCTTTTAGTTTCTTCTTTAAAGCTACCTGTTCATCTGTAACACAGAAATAATCATTGCAATCGCTCATCAACTGCATTCATTACATCACATTAAATAATGGTTGATCACGATGGAAGTAAGACTAGAAATGTCCTTGGCTTTGTATATATCACTCTTCTTCCATGCCTTTCTAGTATCACCACATGACTTGAGATTTCTCTTAACATTCTTTATTAACATCACATGTAATTTAGATTTGTCATTTGTTGTGAAACAAGTCATAATTTTAAATGGCTTAATTCAATAAATAGGAGCTAGAAGTAATAAATTTGATAGAAGTTTCGGTTAATAATAAATTAATCAACTTCTTCAACTGCACTACAGATGGAATTTAAGAATGCATTTTAATCTGATTTTATTTTATTTTATTGTTTATAAGTCCATCGGGAAGTTATTTGCTTTCTCTCCCAGGAAATGGAAAATGGAGAAATTTTAATTGGTTAACAGAGATCACATATAATCACTCAATTCAATTAAAGTCTAAACAAGGGAAGTATCATTCTTTTTTCTACTTACGTGAAAAATAAGAATCACTCCATTGTTTTTCAGGATACAGGAGTAAGAAACAGTAAGTCAAATAAATTAAAAAATGAGATATGGAAAAGAAAAGAGGAATGGAAATACAGCTAAATCTATATTTAAATCATATATCAACCATTTATTCTCTCCATTTCTTTTTATCCTTGTAAATCACTTTTGCTTCTTCCATATCTATATACCATTTTCTTCAATATACTGCATGTAGCTCCTACACACTGGATGAGAGCCAAGTAGTCTCTAGATTACAGATTTCTTATAACTTTTTTACCAATTCAGTCAAAACTTCTTATAAGAACAGCATAGCCAACAATATACAATATTATTTAGTACCAATAATAATAATAAGTGTCTTGGGTGCAATCCAAAACTGCTGGAACACCACTTGAATACACTGGCATCGACAAAAATCACCCATCAGTCAACTGCAAAAGGCAGCTTTGCTTGAAACAGCTTACATTCTGTGATGATACCTCTAGCACCACTGAACATCACTTCTGCTATCCCAGGTCCTTAGAAAGGACTTGACAGAGGGACAAAAATGCCAAATCCATCTGAACATCTGGCTGATTGTCCAATGAACCGTAATCAAAATTGCAATAATCTCAAACAACAAGGGCATTCATAATGTTGCACCTCATTCAGACACTATATATAGAAGATCTTGTGGACTAACCACCTTTTAACAAGTGCTTTTCTGTCATGTTTCTCTGACCATTTTATCACAAAGCTCTAACTGTTTTCCATTAACCACTTTGACTTCCTGATGAAAAATCATTGCCTTGACATTTTCCTTTCACCTCTTGCTGCCTTCCAAGGTGGGGTCCAAAATATAGTATCCATTGATACAAGCACCCTCAAGGCAACCAGCTTTGACCAGATCAGTGCAACTCCTATGGTGTTTCAGCACCACAGATGCTCCTCACTGTCTCTCTAATCCTTTACAGCACCATGGATGCACACATAGGGCTCACAGCCAGCACTTCCTTATCTTCCAGACTCTGGTCCTTCATTTCAGTGATCCTTCAGAACACAATTCAAAGCCTCACAAACAGTAAGCCCTAGCAACCAACAATCCTCAATACCAGTTCTAGTACATAAACCCTCTTTAAACTCTAAATAAATAAAATCTGCAAACAAAACCTAACTGACATGCTTCTTTCTAATCTAAAAACACATGTGCTGGTGCCATTTTATTTCTCTCACTGGCATGGAACAGGGTGAGGATTTGGTTGCAGTTGCGGCACACCGGGCAAGATGTGCCAGAACTGACTGGGACTGTCTTTATACAAGAGATGCCACATCTGGAACAGAAATAAGTAAAGCCAGAAACTAGCCCACTACATCTTTTCTATCTTATTAAAAAAGCATTATAGGGAAAAAAGACTTGTAAATGAGGCATGAATTTTAGATAATTGTTATTTGATTTCTGTATTTATTAAGACTAAAAATAATGAAAAAGATTGAAATATCAAAATATTTAAACACTGCTAATTGAAATCAGTACTACTAGAACAAGAGTATACTACTAGCATCAAAACCAAAACACCTGTTACTTCAGAAACAAAATATTTAAGGTTAAATACTAATCAATGATCAATTGCATAATATAGAAATACAGCAAATTACACAGTACCTAGTTCTTTCTTCCACTGAGATTTCTTAGCATCTAACAAGATTTTATCTGACTCTCGTTCTCCCAGAGTACTAAATATGTCAGCTGGCTTCCAAGAATTCCTGGTGAAGAAAATTTAACAGACTTTTACATACCACCCACTAATATTAAAAATAAATATGACTTAGAAAACCATACATTATATATTATACTACTAGGACCAGAAAGAAGTTCAAGCATTCTGCTCATTACAATTTTACTAAACAACACAATTCATTTTGTGCAAGGAAGAAAGGTCCTCTTCACTATATTTGCATTCTAAAGGCGTTCCTTAAATAAATTATACATTGATTGAAAAATTACATTGACAAATTAAATTGACAAATTAAAGCAACGTTTATTTTTGTTTGCAAAGGATAACCTAAGCACATGAAGCACTCTAGGGTTCACTCCACACTAAGCATATTTATGTATTATAATTGAGTACAACGTACACAAATAGAAACCTATCCAGCTGTCTCCTGAGATTACATGTTCTCCATCTATTTTCCTTTTCCTATGGAAGAATATGGAAGCTTTTGCACTTACTTAGCCATGCTTTAATGAAACAGTAATTACTACCACTACTATTCTATTACAAACAAGCCATTTAAACATTGTAAATCCTGAAACTGGCTTACTGAAACTAAGCAGATAGAAAGTTCTAGTTGATTAGGAAAGAAAGAATATTTAACTAAAGCTGATATGGCAGGATGGGGATAGTGTAAGCTCCCCAAAAGACTAGACTCGTTCCTGTCATGCTAAATTGAAACTGATCATACCATGATATATAAACAGAGTTACAGTGGCATGGTTAACCCACAGTACTCACAATATACTTATTTATTGCCTAGGACAGTGGCCTCCAACCTTTTGGGCATCAGGGACCGGTTTTGTGGAAAGGTTTTTCCGTGGACCGGTGGGACGTGGTTTCATGTGCTGCCTCCATCCCCTGGACGGGGCTTTGCTTGTTTGCGCAGACCGGTTTCTGGCATGCTGCAGGCCAGTGCCGGTCCATGGACTGGGGGTTAGGGACCCCGGCATAGTGTTTTACTTGAGCCATTATATGTAAATTAGATGAAGTTGCTTGTTCAAGCTCCTGAGTTAAACTCCTGACTCATTGTTGTGTGTGAATCAGGCCAGTCCCTGGTTTTTCATGTGCATGTCCCTATATAATTCTGTAAAGATGCATGTTATATAATATTTTTTAAAATGTTTGGTGCCTTCAAGTCAGTCTTTACTATTGGCAACTGCCTAGACATGTCCCTTTCTTGGCAAGATTTTCAGAAGTGGTTTGCCCTTGCCTGCTGCGTAGGGCTGAAGGACAGGGATTGGCCCAGGTCACCCAATTGGCTTTGTGCCTAAGGCGGAACTAGGTCTCCCAGTTTCTAGGTCAACACCTAACTACAATAAACTAGTTCTACATATTATATAGTGAAGATAGGCAAAGTGAAGCCCATAGTATCAAGCGGCATGTATCTTTTCTGGTACCAGTCCAGTTTCCAACCTTATTTACTTTTAAAATATTCTCATTATGAAAAATAAACGTGTCCTGCTATTAAATAAAATGCACTCCACTTCACCTTTATTTCCAACCAAATTCCTGGGGCCCTCACAGGCATTCTTTAAAAAAAATTATATCAGGAAGTAATTGGTATGTTGTCTGAAATGGGATTGCCCAGAAAAAAAAGGGAGGGAGGGAGGGGGTGGGGTGGAGGAGAGAGGGGGGGGGGGAGAGAAGAGAGATATCCTAGAAAGTCCCATATGGCAGCCACTTTCTGGGAGCATGCACAATGTGCCCTCAAAATGTCCAATGCGTCCACTGGCTCAGTAGTGGAGAGGTATCTAACCTAATATACAGTACACATGGGTCTCTTCCCTCTCCATCCTGATGCTAGCATTTTTTTTCAAGAGCATCCCAAAGCAAAATTTAAACTAAACTAGATTTTTGACTGGTAAGATGTACATACGTTATTATTTTCTGTTCAGCATGTCTAGATAATCCTTGGTTTTTTTTTAAACAGAAACTACTTTCACTTGAAAGAGATGGAGCATCACCAACTTTCTGAAGCAATCCCATTACATGTTCTTCTGAAGTCGGATTATCCAGAATTTTTGTGTCTGAATGGGAAAAAAAAGGATTTAATAGTAGTTCAGCAGCAGAAGTAGTAGATTCCTCCTTGTTTTTGCTGCAATAAAGCAGCTTTAAAATTGCACCATCCTTTGCTTTAGTTCTCCTAATGGATTATGTGTTTAAAATTAAAATTGTGACCAATTTGTGAATGAAATGTGAATAAACATTTCCAAAACTCAAAAGAACTGTGCAGCACTTCAGACTGGAAGAACATATATATAATAATAACAGAGTTGGAAGGGACCTTGGAGGTCATCTAGCCTAGCCCCCTGCTCGATCAGGAGAGTCTATTCCAAATATTAGCCTCTAACTAGGATCGAACTCACAGCCTCCTGATTGTAAGCCAAGATGCTTCAAACCCTAGCCATTGTTGAATACTTTTTTCCAAAAGCATTTTTTGAATATTATGGCTTCCATCGGTATGCATAAAGTTTTTTTATTATTGTGGTAATATTTTAGTCTACTTAATATAAAAAGCATCTTGAATCAGTTTACAAAGTGCCATATATCAAAACAATCTAAACACCATAGAGTAAAATGTCACAGCTGTTTGGTAACTGAAACCTTATTAAATCAGAGAAGGACAACTGCACGCTCCCTTCTGCCATGACATATTTGTGCGCTGCCTATGGCTATTGCTAAAATTTAACAACAAACTTAACAACAAAACGTCAATTTCAGACAGTGTGATTTAAGGATTTAGACCAGAGGTGGTATTCAGCCGGTTTGGACCAGTTCTGATGTACCGGTAGCGAAAATTTTGACTGGTTTGGAGAACCGGCAAATACTACCTCTGGCTGGCCCCGCCCACCCGCCCTTGTCATGACTATATTTCCTTGTTTTTTGGCTCGGCTGATTCGCATGGCAGAGTGGACTGCTGCGCCTCAGCTGAGTTTAAAAACACTTCAGGCAGCTATCCAGTCTTGACAGAACTCTGTATTTGTGCCGCGCACGCGCACAGCTCAAATGATTTGTGTTATCGCCATGCCTCAGCTGATCTTAAAAACACTCCAGGCAGCTCCCCAGGTTGACAGAATCCCATATTTGTAGCGCACACGTGCGCAAAAACCTGATTTAGACCTTAAAATCAGCATATCAGACCTCTAATTTTGTAAACCCACATAATCTAAAATTCATCAAAATAAAAACAAGGCGAAAGTGTTTAGTACTGCAGTCGTGCAACGTAACTATTTGTTAAAATGGGCCTTTGCAGAGAAATAGTGCCTACCTCATGATAAATAAAAGAACAAGGAGAAATTAATTATAGCTATGTAAAAGCCGTATCATTGGTGAGTACGTTAGCAATTGAAGTTAGTATTTTTACTCTTGCAGTTTAATAGAACTTAATGAACCCATAGTAGTTAATTAATTCAGCATGTGTCACTGTAAGGGATTTGAAAGAAAATAATTTACCATGCACATTTATAAAGAGCTGTTTTTTTGTTTGTTTTGCTTTGTTTCTCTTGATTAGCAATGCTAAGATGAAGGCATGAATGTGCTTTCTCACTTTTCTTCTCCCCAGGAAGAATGCCCATAAAATTGGGTAAAGGGAAATAAAAACTTACTTGCATCTCCTTTCTTTTCTGCCAGAACCTGAGTGGCTCCTTGGGTTCCTTCTTTTACTGCCATTAAAATCTGTTCCAGCTGCTCTTGTGTTAAACATACCAAATTGTCCCTTCGATCCTCAACAGAAAGAGAATGCTTTTTAAATTTCTTGTTGCATGCCAAAGGTTTCTTAATTGAATTTCTGACATTATCTGGCTTTGAAGTTGTATTGTCTTTTTGGATTATAAAAGCATCATCTTTATTACAAGGTCCCTTCGATAAATCCTTGGTAAACATCACAGTTTCAGGATGTTTACTACCTTTGGTCACTGAAAATCTTGATCTGGTTTTCTGTTTTGTTAAACATTCATTCTTCTCACAGGATGTTTGCACTGATTTCAGAATATGCCCATTTGGTTTTGATCTCGTCGTGTATTTTAAAATCTTGTTTTTATTACATATCTATGGGACAGAAACAGTACTATTATTATTTCTTCCAGGAATTTGTTTTAAGCTGTACAAATGTTATAGTTTCCCAACTAAAGAAACAGGGTGTTTGCAAAATAAATTTAATGGAAATAATACTTTCCTACCTCAACCTCTACAAAAAAACCCTACACTTTTTGAAGTGCCAGTATATAATGAGATAAGAGATAGATAGAAGATAGACAGAGAGACAGACAATGTGTATAGTATATGTGTAAATAAAAAACACGATAGAAAGCTTTTTGCTTATCTTACCCAATCCTCCATAGATGTTTAATATACATTTCAAAACCAAAAACAGAATATATGTAATGTATTTATATTCTTGTTCTTCAGAGAATAACATCATAAATCATTTTTTATATTAAAGAAAACCCTTTACACCTTTAAATGAAAGGAGTTGAAAAAGAAATCATTGGATAGAAGGTTCTGAAGCGATAACTAAATTCTACCTGTTGCCTGGGAAATCCAAAGAATTAAGGAAGATTGTAGCCAGTTGCATTTTTATAAGAAAACATAGATCTTAAGAAAGCATGGATTCAAATCTTTTAGGGCTTTAAGGGCAAAAGTGAGATTTAATATGTTGCTGACCAGTTTTTCTTAAATTACAAACTTTCTTAGTAAAATAAAATTTCAATACATGTAGCTACAATTTATTTTGCAATCAAAGCAATTAAACGGAATGATTTGACATCTTCAACATTATAAGCAGGATTTAAGACTTACCCTTATGCCTGGTTTCGACTGACTTACTATGAAAGGGGGGAAAAAAGTGCATTAGAATAAGGTCCAGGATAATTTTAACTTACATTCTCAACTTGGCTGGCAACATCCCAGTGACACTAAGAAGGCCAGAAAGTTAAGTGAATATGAAGCATATTCTTCCATCCATAGATACAGGTAATTCTTGACTTGTAAATGCTCGAAGTTCTGACAGAGCCCTCCCCAAAGGGTACTTATAACCTGGTTCCATATTCCTGATGATGCGTGTGGTCTCATGATAGCATTTACAGCCATCTACAATGTTTCAGTCACATGACCCCAATTATGATATTTTTTCTGAAAACTGATGTTTGCTTCAAGTTATTGGCAAAAAAAAAACTCCATAGTGAACAATGGGTTCTCTTACTGACACAGTGTTCACTGAACAATAGCAGATTCACTTAATAACCATAATCACTTGCTTAATGACCGCCACAAAAAAGGTAATAAAATTGGGCTGGTCATGTGATGACGCACTTTATAACCATCATGACTTATAACTGTAATGGGCAGTATTCATTACAGTCATAAATCGAGGACTATTTGTATGCTATATATATCAAATACCCTATTTCTTTATTACAGGTTATTTATTCTTAAAGACCATTCACTAAACTGGAAACATACTCATGTTTACGGACAATTAAAGAGAAAGGGAGTAGGCAGCCCCCCCTTTTTTTTAAATAAAAGAATTTACATTTAATCTCAATCGTACATAAGGGGAAATATGAAACTTCTGTTCCTAAATTTCTGTAAATCAGACAGTTCTTATAATTTATTTGAAAAGGGAATATTCCTAGCCCAGTGATGATGAACCATTTTGTTGTGGTGTGCCAGAAGCATGTATGTGCGTGCCAGTATTCACAATGCAATGCCCCCCGCCCCACCCCCTGCGCACGCAACACCCCCGCCCCCTTACCTGCACTGCACATTTGCCCGCCTCCCAGATGATTTGATGCCGTTTTCACTGTCCCGGAGGCTCGAGGGAAGCCTCTGCGGCCTCGGGAGGCCAAAAAACGGGCTTTCCAGAAATACTGGAAGTGCCTGTTTTCAGCCTCCCAAGGGCCTCCAGAGCGCGGAGGAGCCCGTTTTCACCCTCCCGGAGTCTCAAGGGAAGCCTCTGGAGGCTGAAAACGGGCCCGTTTTGGCACTTCCAGTATTTCTGGAAGGCCTGTTTTTCGGCCTCCCGAGGCTACAGAGGCTTCCCTCAAGCCTCTGGGAGGGCGAAAACGGCCTCAAACAGGCCAAAAATTAGCTGGGAGGTGCACGCATGAGCAGTGCAGGGAGGTTTGGCTGGGCCTCGTGTGCCCGCACAAATGGCTCTGTGTGTCACAGGTTTGCCATCACAGTCCTAGCTTTTCAGAGACATTTCTAGTACAAGTATATATAAGTATAGTACAGGCCTATATATAATTTAGGTCAAAATCAAACAATTGAACCCTTAAGACATATCAACCCTTTCATAAGAACATACATATGTACAGACATACACACATTCTTTTTTCCACACCCATATCCCCAACATACACATTCCAAATAGATAAAATTTTTAAAAATCCACTTCTGGTACCTACACAATGAGCCTATATGGTGTTGTGGGATCCTTGGTGCCCTCCAAGCTTGTTGGTTTTCTTGAAAATGTTCCATTACCAAAGTGGGTAACAACTGATAATGAAACATCTGCAAGAAAACCACTAAGTCCAGAGAGCACCAAGGATCCCACAGTTCAACCTTGAGCTACGGTATAAATATTCTCTTCTGTATCAGTGTGGGGACTGATAACAATTTGGGGAACTGAAGTCCACATATCTGCAGGGGAACTAAGTTAGGAAAATTACTGTTTTCTGAAGTAATCAGAGAAAAAATAATCCACAACAATTAGAATATATCTGATTAAGGTGTTTAAAAATTAAACTCTTTTTAAAAAAGCAAACAAAAAACTGCTGGTAATCACTAATAAGGACTAATTTTTTTTATATAAGAGTAATCATACCACAAGGAGCCACTATCAGTCTAGGTTTTCCATCCAGTATTTCTGTTTCAAGCTTTAAACCATCTCTGTAATCAAAAAAGAAAAAAAGGTGAACTATTTCTATAATTGAAATCAGCTTGGAAAAAATATGGTGTGGAGCATAATTTTTAAATAAATCAATAGTCTATTTCATTGTTTGTGCAAAATAATAAAGATCTTAAAGAAAAGTGATTACTATATGCCTTTTGACATATTCTAGTTTTCTTTTCTCCTTTCCACTTTTAAAGTTACCTCTCTTTCCTTAAATTCCTAAAAAAACAATAATAGATTAGACAGAATCTATTCTATTCCATACAGCAGGGCTCCCAAAACTTGGCAACTTTAAGACTTGTGGACTTCAACTCCCAGAATTCTCCAGCCAGCATAGCTGACTGGAGAATTCTGGAAGCTGAAGTCCACAAGTCTTAAAGTTGCCAAGTTTGGAGACGTCTGCCGTACAGAATGGAAATTATCCAGTTTAGTAGGGAAAAAAGGCTATCGCTATATTTAAGTCAAACTACCTAGAATAAGATTTCCCCCTTTTGAAAAAGTCTCCGGAGTAAAAAGTCGTTTTTGGCACAACATAAATAAAGACATGTTAAACTCAATCCCTAAGAGAGGAAAATGAACTGTTTACTACTCTCAGATACTTACAAAGAAATGTTTTTTTCTTTAATGCAGATCACAACACTGATTCATTAACACTTCTTGCATCTCCTATTTGCAAGCTTTAACTTTTTTTTGAAATCTATTGTTGTTGCCTTACTGGGGGAAAGACTTTGAGCATGTACAGTATATGGTAAAGGGCATGCACATACATACAGAGATCATTGTAACAGGGGAAGGCACAAGATTTTCTATATCCCTGAAAACGTATATAACATCTGAAATAAGACAGCAATCTTCATGAAATAGTACAGATCCAGCTTTAGTGTAATTTGACTAGAAGGAATATCTGGCAATGAAGCGGGAAGCATCTTTGAAAATTAGATAAAAACATCTGCTTTGGGTGATTGCATACCTTTAACACCAGATCTAATCTTACTATGCATATTACAATATATACATTACTATAACTAAAATGTCAACAAAGGATACTAAAATAACCAATAATGAACCCTTATTATCCACTAAGGGTTGTTGTAACCATTCTACTATCAGAAAACAGATTCGGAACTGTGGGGATTATGCCGCCAGCGAATTTAGTCTTAAAAGTTCACGGAAGCTAAAAAAGAACCAAGCTTTCCAAAAGCCATTTCATTGAGGTGAGTGTAAAAGGCATAACCCTCTGATCCTTAAGCTTACATGTTTCTAGTCCTCATTGGAAGAGAACTAGAAAAATCATCACCTAGGTTGTATATGTCTACTTCTGGACTGTATTATTGAGCCGCAGTGGTTAGAGTTACTACTTCTGCTGGCTGCTGGCTGCCTCCAATTTGGCAGTTCAAATCTCATCAGGCTCAAGGGTGACTCAGCCTTCCATCCTTCTGAAGTTGGTAAAATGAGGACTGTAAACCGCTTAGAGAGGGGCTGTAAAGCACTGTGAAGCAGCACATAAGTCGAAGTGCTAAGTGCTATTCCTATCACAGGGCCTTTTAAAAAATTCTTTCACATAGGGGTGGAGAAAGGAAATAAAGCATAAGTTCTGAAATACTTTTATTCTCAGCTGATTTTAGAACTTTAGGTTGATTGGTTTGGAAAAGCAGCAACAATCAAGCTCTCTACATAGCATGTTTGGTCTCCATGGTTCATTGTGGGATTTGTAGCTGCCTTTACACATTGTATGAAAACATAGCTTTGTTTGTTTAACAAGGTGCAGCTAAAACTTCCTAGCTTAGCATGATGTGTAAACATAGCCGCCTCTTATCTTTCCTTTCTCAAAACAAAGCCTCTGCATATAATTGTAAATCTGCAGAGTAGGAGAAAGAAGGTTTCAGTCATCATGCGTAGGTCTTCTGTAGTCATGACATAAGCCTAAAATCAGGCTTGTCAGATGCTACATCTTTTCTATCCTGCTCTACGGAGTGGAGACTTGGTCTCTGACAGAAAGCCACTTGAAGAAACTAGAAGCATTTGAAATGTGGATTTACAGGCAGCTGTTTCAACATATAAGTTGGGTTGACAAAATCAGAAATGAGGTGATAAGCCTGGGAAAGCCAAGGGAAATCATCAAAATCATAAAAAAGCAAAAGTTAGAATATTTTGGACATGTGATGCAACAACCAGAAAAATATGGCATACTTCACTTAACGCTCTAAGGCAGTGGTGGCTAACTTTTTTGGGCTACTGTGCCAAAAACTGCGCTCATGCTGCAGCACCCAGAAGGCAATGCATGCGCCCCCCGCCACCCCCTTGCCTGCACTGCACTTCCCAGCTGATTTTCAGCCCATTTGAAGCCTTTTCAGCCTGCCAGAGGCTTGAGGGAAGCCTCTGCTGGCTGAAAAATGGGCCTGTTTCATCACTTCTGGTATTTCCAGAAATACAGGAAGTGATGAAATGGGCCTATTTTTTGGCCTGCAAAGGCTTCCCTCAAGCCTCTGGCAGGCCGAAAAAGGCCTGAAAATCAGCTGGGAGGCATACACATGTGCAGTGAGGTAAGTTTGCCTGGGGTTCACATGCCCACACAAATGGCTCTGTATGCCACCTGTGGCATGTGTGCCATAGGTTCGCCATCACGGCTCTAAGGAAAGATTGAAGGCAAATGAGGTCCAGGCAGAAGAAAAACATCATGGCTTCAAAATATAAGGGACTGGTTTAGGCAAATCTCAACAGCACTTTTTTGTGCGGTTGTTGATAAACACAGGATCACCAACATGATCGCCAATGTCCGATAATGGATATGGCACAAGAAAAAGTAATCATTATTATAGAATCTCATAGCTATTTCAAATAACAGCTTTCTCATGCAGAGAAACATAGGGGTGAAACAGAAATGAGCCGCTAATAGTGGCTATGAATAACAGATTGGGTGTCTATTTTGCACATCTTATTTGTTGAGTCACAAAAGGATCACAGTTAAACATGACCTGAATTGTGCTGGGAAATCTAAAACAATCTATAACCGAATAATTATGTGCTCCAAATAATTACTTGCTGCAAGGAAGGAAGCCACAGCCTTTAATCACAAACTTACATATACTATATTTGAACAATAATCATAAATGTCATCTGCCAGGTTCTAATCTAATAAAGTACTTATCCAGTAATCAAATTAGAGGAAAGTGACTTATCAAGGTTGAAGAGACAAATGTGATGAATCTAATAATTTAAAGTTGCACAACAGAATGATCTTCTCTGTTCCTTGGAAGATGTCTACAAAACTCTTCTGCTTTCATGTTTGCACACAAGAGTTATTATTACAGAACAATGACCTGCCTCATTCATGCACAAGTGATTTGAATAATATCATTTTGCAACTGTTAATACTGTTCATATGAAAAATCTGAATGTTTTTTCATTTTCAAAAAGAAAATGTTGGCAGTTGGTAACTAGGAGGCTCCAATAAGGTCTGTTGAACGTGATGCAATTTGTAGCTGCAATTGCTCACAGCGACTTGCCGTCTTCTCCACATCCATGAGATTCCTGCTAACACCTCTTCCTAAGCCTACTGAACCTAATTTGTTTTTTACCCAGCCCTTTTCTGCGTAAATGCTTTCCCTCTTTCCTGGCACTAATATTGTATTGTTGTTGTTAAACAGAGCAATTATTTTCCTTGGAATATGATTTGCCTTTTGAGTGATTTTGTTTCCCTAATAAAAAAGAACGACAACCTGAATTCACCAGGCTGATAACAAAACAATGAAATTCATGAATTCTAGATTGTAGGACTCTTGTCAGCACTCAATAAGATTTACTTCCAAATATCTGATGGTTATCAAAAACGTCAGGTCCACACTCTTGAACGCAAGCTAGAGAAACGTCTGTGGAGATTCTCAAGTCATCCAGGTCATGGTTGTCCCCAAAGGTCCAGTCAGAGCTGAAGAAGCTTCTTAGATGAGAAGCGAAACGTCTTCAAAGAAAAACCAGAAAGGCCGGTTGCCTCTTGGGAAAAAAGGCACCTTTGGGTCAACCTAGAGAGAAACCTGCAGCTGAAGCTGTCCAGCTCTTGGCGTGGACTTAGGGCAGCCGGCATTCCTACCTAGCACAGCCTCAACATCACTAAGCACGGCGTTGTTTTTGCAAGGCTGATAAAAAAAGAAAACACCGCACCATCAACCGAGCTCAGTGCACTTGCCACGCGAAACGGACGGGCCCCCAAGGCGGGCAGAGCTAGGCAGGAGCAGCTCTTGCAATCCCCCCCGGGTAAAGCCACACCAGCCTTCCAAGAGGGACGGTCTCGGAGGCTTCGCGGGCGCTCGCTCCGGCTGGAGGGCAGAGGATTTCGCCTCCTCCCGACAGCTCTCCCTCGAAAGGACGAGGTCACCCAAGAACGTGGCATTGCCGCGGGGCTTCGCTTCCTTACCCCAGATTCATGGCTGCGACTCTGCTCCGCGGAAGAGCGCAAGAGCCCGTCTGCAAGGGCGGGCGGGCGGGCTAGCGGCAGCAAGAGGCGCACGAACAGCCCACCCTTGGCCGGCTCTCGGCTTAATGTGTGTACGTCGGTTGCTTGCCACCGCACAATGAAAGACGAGCTGATAGGCCTGCGGCTGCCCTGACTCTTTCACCAATGAGCTCCCGCTCTCGCTTATCGGGTAGCGCTCCCCGCCTGCGAAGCATTGTGGGAGTTGTAGTTCCAGGCGCACCTCGTTGCTCGCTGTCTGACTCTTGGTGGAGGAGACGGGCGGAAAAGCCGATAGAAGAGCTTTCCGGGCAAGCTTTTCCGAAGCGGAGGCAAAGAAGCGCTGAGCGTTCCCGTTTTTCTTTTCGAAAGGGTCCTTTAGAGGCATCAGGGTTGCTTCAGACTCCTGCTGCTCAATCTCAGCACCTTTAAGACACGTGGACTTCAGCTCCCAAAATTCCCCAGCTAGCAATTCTGGGAGTTGAAGTCCCCAGTCAGGAAACCCCCAGCTAGGGGAAGGCTAATTTGGACCACCAGAGAACTTTCATCTCTCTGGTTTGGCATGGAGGAATTACATCATGGGTTTAAAAAAAAAAAAAAGTGAAGGAAGGCCTGACTAGCAGGTGTTGGAACACATACAGAAAAGATTCAGAGAAGAGATTCTGGAATTGTTTCCAGTCTCTTAATGATAGTTCTATGTTTGGTCACATGACTGGGAAGGAGGAAGTGCAGCCTTAGAGTGGAGAAATCTGCAACGTTCCAAACTGCTGGACAATTGACTTTCCGTTAGGGAGTGTTGGGCATAGTGTTTTAGGACATTCCCCCCGCTCCCCACTTGCTGGCTCTGGCTGGATTGGGCCCATTTTCCAACTTCAATTTTATTTTGCTGATTTCTCCCCTACACCAATATTGGCCCTTTTTTCTTCTTCCAGATTTCCAAGTGTTATCCTGACCAAAGACAGATATATAGAATCCCAAGCCCCTTTAGATGTAAGCTAACTTTATGGTCACTTTAAATGTACACTAATCGGCATACATTAAAACGAAATGTCATCGCATACAGCTCTCAAAAGATCTCCATTGCCAATATACACTCCATAAACATGACAAAATAAATACATTCAAAATTATGCATATACTCACGTACATGACAGGGAGAAACAACACAGTCTAGTTCGGATGTATATAGCGAGAAAAACGAATCTTGCGAGTTTACCAGATGGATGGTGTAGGGAACAAAGCTGTTACAGAATCTGGTAGTCCTGCGAGAAATACTTTGAAACCTCCTCCCAGAGGGGAGCAACAGAAACAGACCGTGAAGCGGGTGTGTGGGGATCTCTAACAATGCTTTGAGCTCTAAGCACATAGCGCTTATATAAGCAGTATCCTGAATGACAGGAAGCAAGCTTCCTATAATCTTGGCTGTCCTTACCACTCTCTGAATGGATTTCTCTCTCTGAGGCACTGCTGCCATCACACCAAACAGTGATGCAGTTTGTTAAAATGCTCTTAATTGTGCCCGTGTAAAAAGTGGCCAGGACAGAAGGAGAAAGATGTATTCTTCTCATTCAACGCAGGAAATGCAGACACTGGTTTGCACACTTCACTAAGGATAACATGTGGAGAGACCAATTCAGATTGTTAGTTATCTGCACCCCCAGATACTTAATACTGTTGACCACCTCTACAGGGGCACCCTTGATACTGAGTGGAATACAATCATGCCGGCTTTATGTAAAGTCTTCCCCTCACTTCACTGGGTGGGAAAGAATGCAAACATCAAACTAGAATTAATATGTTTTCATGCTCTAAACTGCAAACTGATTACAGTAAAGCAGTTATATCTGATAGCCATTTTTAATTTAATTATTTGTATTCCACCTTTTTTCAGGCATCTTAACTAGTGTTTGGGTTTTATGCCTTACTTTAAAATGCTCAGTGATTGAAAATGTGGTTGAACTAGTATGGCTGTACTGCTTATGACTGATCTTGGCTCATCTAAAAAAACTAAGCAGATAGACTATAGTTAGTACTTGGAGGGGAGACAAGCAGGTAATATCAAGAAAATTACAGGGAAATCTCAGTGTAGTTTCAGCAGTTGAACTCAATTTCAAGGATGCTTTATGAAGGGTATTTTCCTCCTAGTCCACATTGCAGAAATAAAATGTAAAATCCACAGACATTGATTGACTTAGTTACTTGTTACATTTATACAATATTCTACATTTCTTCTGGGAAGTCAAGCTCAATGTGATTTGTATAGAGATCCCTCGTTATTTTATCCCCTCCATAACCACCTGTGAGATTAATTGAACAAGGGTCAATCAGTAAGTTTCATGTAGAAATTTATGGCTCTACCATTCTAGTCCAACATTTTGATTCCAACACCCTAGTTCTACTTTACAAAGAGTACAGTATTAATAACTAAAATACACTTGAAAACTATGTTAGTTCAAGAACAAACATTACTTTTATTTGCCTAATGGTAAAATACTAGTTTCTTATAAACTTTATATCAATCAGTAGATGGAAGAATAGTCAAGTTTTGATATCTGTTCTGTAACTTAACAAACAATACAATAGTAATAATATTTCAGATTTTTGGGTGCATATTTAACTTAATAGCTGTTGATAACCAGGCAGCTAAATAAAAGGATTTTTAAATAAAGTAAGTAATATCATCCTGCAGTATATTTGTGTGTGTGAGTGTTGGTATATAAAGTTGCATTTGTGAAAGGAATTAATTTGTGTCCTTCTCCAGCCAAAGGGATGATATATACTGAATATCATTTTGGGGCTGGCATAGTTTCCAGCTTTGTATGGATTCATATAACAGCAGTGTTCTGTATTTGCATTCTTGTAAACCTGTGTTCTGATTGGCTAAGACGCACAGCACTCGGATTGGTCGAGTGTGCAGCACTGATTGGCCGTTACAAAGCACCCGTGATTGGCCGAGCCGATCATGGGAGATTTGAACGGCTGTCATTGGCTGCAGCGCCCTGGGCAAGACCAATATAAGCCGGCGCCATTCCAAGCCAGGCAAGCCGATCTACCTTACAATAAAAAGAGCTTTAAAAGTCACTCGCCTCACGTCTCTTCTTGGGACCGATCTACCGATACAACACTGGCGACGAAGGTGGGATTCTGAACAACGACTCACCCTGCACGTGGCACCGCGGCAAGGCAACCGGCAACATGGCCAGCAGCACTGCGCCACCTGCACCCTTCAACCAGGCTGCAGAGGACTGGGAATCTTACATCGATAGATTCCTTATGTTCCTGGAAAGCAGCAACCTAAAGGACGTGAATGGACAGAAGAAAAGGGCCGTGTTCCTGACCCACCGCGGGCCCGCAGTATTCAAGATGGCAAAAGCCCTCGCCAAGCCCCTCGATGTGAAGGTGATGGACTGGGCCGACCTCGAGCCATTACTGCGAAGCCACTATGCGCCCGCCGTACCAACCCTCATCTGCCGGCACGATTTCTACCGGAGGGATCAGAAGGAGAGTGAGCATCAGCGACTTCGTGGCTGATCTACGGGACCTAGGGGGCATGTGCGGCTTCACCGACATGGATGAAGCCCTGCGAGACCGTGTCGTCCTTGGGCTCAAGGACCCCATCCTGCAAAGGGCGACATATCCCTTACTGACGCCCTCGCCGAGGCAACCGCAGCGGAGGCAACCAGGAAATTGGTGGCCCGGATGCGGCAAACGAGCACAGCGGACTGGCCTGTGACGACCGAGGCAGCCCCGACCCCTGAGAAGCACACCAAAGCCAGCCGCCGAGCAACCACCACCACGCATCATGGCGACCTCGACTCCCTCACCGACACCGAGGACGAAGAGGAAGACATCCACCGGCTCCAGGCGGAACGAGACCGGCGCGAGCGGCGAGGTCGTAAGTCGGGTTTCCAGTGCGCCGGGTGCGGGGGTGACCATCCACGGTCGGAATGCCGGTTCCTCGACGCGATCTGCCAGCATTGCGACAAGCGGGGCCACATCGCCAAGGTGTGCCGGTTCAAGTGTAACCATAGCCCCCGGAGACGAGATGGCACCACCCCCCAGGAACAGAGACCGACACGCCGAGAGCCGATGGAGCCGGGAGGGAAGAAACAAGCATCTCAACAAGGCTCGACAACGAGAAGAGACCCACCAAACAGTCGTTATCAGCCACTCTTCAAATTGGGACGCCCGGAAGGTACACGTGGAGGTGGGCATCGAAGACCGACCATGCAAAATGGAGGTGGATTCTGGATCCTACCTCTCCATGGTCGCTTGGCGGGAAATCAAGCGCCTGGTGCCCACCATCCATAGGTGCGAACTGGAAAGCCAGAAACTCATCCTCAAAGACTACCAGGGGAATCGCATCCCCGTGGTCGGAATTGGACACTTTAAAATCACTTTTAAAGGGCGCACCGAAATACTTCCCCTAACCATCGTGGAAAAGGACTGCCCTAGCCTTTTGGGACTACAATGGTTCGCGCCATTGGGAATAGAGGTGACGGGCACCAACCACATCGCTGAGGCGGACTGGGAGGAGCAGCTCGCAAAAGACTTCCAAGAGGTTTTCGACGGCAGCCTAGGCAAGTACCGAGGGGCCCCGATATCCTTCAACCTAGACCCTAACATTGCCCCAATCTGCCTTAAACCCCGGCGAGTACCCTTCGCGCTCAAACCTAAAATCGATGAGCAGTTAAACAAACTCATCGAGCAAGGGGTACTCGAGCCAATAGACCATGCCAGGTGGGAGACCCCCATAGTCACCCCAGTCAAGCCAGATGGGTCGGTGAGAATCTGTGGGGACTACAAGGCCACCCTCAACCGCGCCCTACAGCAAAGCGCTTACCCCGTCCCAGTAGTACAGCACCTTCTGCACTCACTGGGGGGAGGCAAGGTCTTCACAAAACTCGACCTGGCACAGGCCTACCAGCAATTGCCAGTCAACGCGGAAACCGCTGAGGCGCAAACCATAGTCACCCACCGCGGGGCCTTCCGCTGCAAGAGGCTCCAGTTTGGAGTCAGCGTAGCCCCGGGGGTCTTCCAGAGCCTAATGGAGAGGCTACTCCAAGGCATCAAAGGGGTAGTGCCCTATTTTGACGACGTGCT